CCTTTCTTCTTCTTTTTTTTGTCACTTGTTTATTTAGCAAACATTCACTGAGTGCTATGCCAGGGGTGACTTGGGGGGTGATTTGGCAAATATGAGCTCCCTTGTGGGTCTTCTTTTTCTTCTTCTTTTCTTTTTTTTAATACTTTTAACTACTGATTTAAGTGTTTTCCTTGAACTTTTCTATTTTATTTATTTATTTATTCAGAGAGAAAGAGAGAGGGATAGGGAGGGGCAGAGGGAGAATCTTAAGCTGACGTCCCTCCCGAGGTGGGACTTGAACTCGTGGCCCCGAGATCGTGACCTGAGCCGAAGCCAGGAGTCAGACGCTTTAACCTCCTTCAGAGGTTTGCTCTTGTGTCTGGACTCTCCCAACAGCTGCTCGGCGGTAGGTTCTATGCTGGTGAGTATATCCCTTTGTCTTTCCTGACACCCTGGTCTGCAAAGTGCAGACCGACGGAAGGAGGGCTCTGTGCACTGGTTTGGTCCTGTCTGGATTCCCAGCTGGAGACCGTGGGTGGGGGCCTCATCCGCAGTGGGACCCTCAGTGTGGGGCTCTGCTTGGCCTCCTGTGGGGCCGCCGTTGTATCAACCCACACCCCCCAACCCTCCGTGCAGCTCCCCGAGGCCTGAGGCAGGGACCAGGGGGTCAGTCAAAGGGGACAGATCTCCCAGACCCTGGCGTCGGGTTGTCTGTCCGTTCCCTTTTACCAGCAATGATTCTTCACGTGTCGTCATGGGTAGAGCATACATTCCTCAACCCACCTGTGCACCCAGAGAAGATGGGATAAAGGCAAATGCTGTATGATCTCACTTACATGCCGAATACACTTTTTAAAGATTTAAAAAAAATTTTTTTAAAGATTTTATTTATTTATTTGACAGACAGAGACCACAAGTAGGCAGAGAGGCAGGCAGAGAGAGAGGAGGAAGCAGTCTCTCCCCACCGAGCAGAGAGCCCAATGCGGGGTTCAATCCCAGGACCCCGAGATCATGACCTGAGCCGAAGACAGAGGCTTTAACCCACTGAGCCACCCAGGTGCCACTAAAGATTTTTTAATTAAAAAAAAAATTTTTTTTTAAATTTTTTAAGAAAACCCTCATAGATACAGAGAACAGATGGGTGGTTGCCAGAGACAAGGGGGGTTTGGGGAAGGTTGGTGAAATGTGTGAAGGGGGTCAAAAGGCACAGACTTCCACTTATAACGTAAATAAGGGGCATCTGGGTGGCTCCGTCGGTTAAGCCTCTGCCTTTGGCTCAGGTTATGATCTCAGGGTCATGGGATCGAGCCCGGTGTCAGCCTCTACACTTTGGGAGGAGCCTGACTTCTCCCTCTCCCTCTGCCCCTCCACTTGCTCATGCTCTCTCTGACTCTCTCTCTCAAATAAATAAATAAATAAAATCTTAAAAAAAAAAAAAAAAAAGAGGGCGCTGGGGTGGCTCAGTGGGTTGAAGCCTCTGCCTTCAGCTCGGGTCATAATCCCAGGGTCCTGGGATCGAGCCCCACAGTGGGCTCTCTGCTCAGCAGGGAGCCTGCTTCCCTTCCTCTCTCTCTGCCTGCCTCTCTGCCTACTTGTGATCTCTCTGTCAAATAAATAAATGAAAAAATCTTAAAAAAAAAAAAAAGATGATTAAGTCCTGGGGATATCGTGTGCAGCATGGAGAGCTACAGTTGATATCACTGTGTCCACTTTTGAAAGTTGCTTGGAGAGTAGATCTTGAAAGTTCTCATCAGGAGAAAAAAACATTTGTAACTATGTGGTGACCCCATGTTAACTAAACTTACCCTGGAGATCATTTCCTGATGTATGCAAACAACTCACGATGTGGGACTCCTGAAATGAATGCAGTGTTATGTGCCCACTGTATCTCAATTTAAAAAATAATAATAATAAATAAATATTTTTTAAAAAGAGCAGAGTGGGTAAGTACATTGTGGTACATTGATGCAATGGCAGATTTAGCTAGCAATAAGAATGGACTTCGCAAAACAAAACAAAACAAAAAAAACAGGGTATTGCAAAGCACAAAAAAGAGTGAAATTCACAAGTGTTCCTGAGAGCCAAAAACACCCTTCCAGAGCCTGGAAAGTGGATAAGAAAGCTCATCAGTGATGACAAAGGTAGAAACCTGGGTGGCTTCTTGGGTGTGAGGGGGTGAGCCTGGGCTGGGAAGGGGCCCAGCAGAGCCTGCCTGGATTTGGGAATGTCCTATATTTTGACCGGAGCGGTGATGACGGTGGCGTACACTCATGTAAAAAATGCATCCATCTGGACACCGAAGATCTGGGCATTTTACCGCATGTAAATTACTCCTCAGCAGCAAAGAAAAACAAAAACTTATGATAAAATATTCCAAACACCCAAAACATTAAAAGGGATTGTATTTTATTTTTAAAGATTTTATTTATTTATTTGACAGAGAAAGAGAGGGAGCACAAGCAGGGGGAGTGGGAGACGGAGAAGCAGGCTCCCCGCTGAGTAGAGAGCCCAACGTGGGGCTCGATCCCAGCACCCTGGGATCAGCACCCAAGCTGAAGGCAGACGCCTAACGACTGAGCCACCCAGGTGCCCCAAAGGGATTATATTTTTAAAGAGCCCTTTACATAACACCAATTCAGTGACACCCACTGACGTCTTTGGTGTTGACACATGTCTCTCTGGCTCGGTCCCTACCCTAGGTGAGATCGGGGGGCTCGTTCAGGTCCGTGGGAGCAGTCTGCTGACCCCTACATTGGACTGTCAGGGGACCCACCAAGAGGGCAGCTGGGGCCGCCACATGCCTGCGGATGGAGAAAGGGAGCCTCCCCCTCTCGGCCAGGAGAGGAGAAAGGACCAATGGAGACTTTAACCTAAGGACTTCTCCTGGGGTCACATTGAGATCCACTGTCACTCTCCCTGTGACAGTGTCTGTCTCTTCCCTTCTTCCTTCCTCTCTGCACCCAACTCCTTCATCCAACGACGAACACACAGGGCCAGACTGCTGGCTTGGAAGCCGGGAGTGGGGTGGGGGCTTCGCTCTTTTCTGACCACAGCATACGGTTTCCACTGCAGGCTACACGGGTCGAAGAAACGCTCCCCCCTCCCCGGGGTCAGGGCGATGCATTTAGTGCCCTGGGTCACCACCTTATCCGAAGGGGACTGGGCCTCAGGGACAACGAAAAGAAACCAGAAATCACAGTGGTGTTCGATCAGCCCCTGGAGGAAAGAATCTTGTTTGCAGAAGCTCTTTGAAGTTCAAAATGCTGGGAAGGGCAGAGCCCGAGAGTGTCCGAGGCAGCGGAAGCCCAGAGACCAGGCGCTGTTGAGCCCTAGCCCAGAACCGTCTCTCTCTCTCTCTTTTTTTTTTTTTTTTTTTTTGGTAAAGACTTTATTTATTTGACAGAGAGAGAGATCACAACTAGGCAGAGAGGCAGGCGGGGGGCGGGGGAGCAGGCTCCCCACTGAGCAGAGAGCCCGATGTGGGGCTCGATCCCATGACCCTGAGATCATGCCCTGAGCCGAAGGCAGAGGCTTGCCATTTATTCCCACCCCAGCCCCATCCTGCTGCCCCTCCGTCTGGGCTGGGTGTGCCCCGGGGGCTGCCAGCCTGGACTCCAGGTTGGGTTCAGCCTCCCAGAGGGGCAGCTGGAGGAGGGCAGGAGAGAGCCGGGGTCATTGTCTCCTGATCCTTTCCGCCTGGAGTGGGGTCCTCCGCACAGCTCCAGTCCCAAGCACAGCGCCTTTGTTCTGCTCCTTTGGGGTAACGGTGGCCCCCAGAGTCCCCTGTGGGCTCCCTTAGCCCACCTGTGCCCACAGCCCCCCTTCCCTAAACCCGTCACCCACGCACAGCCCCCACCGCCTCCTCCTTCTCTGCTGACACAGTACCTGGGAGCCAGCACGAAGCTTCCAAATGCATTCAGCTGTTAACCCCGAGAGCCTTGATGGTCTCCCAGGACAGCAATGTCAAGTGCAAAGCCTGTAAGATGACCACAGAGCTTGCAAACTCTTACCGTTCATTTGATCTCGAGAGAGCTGGCTGCAGGAGATAGAGTTCCCTCCCTGAGGTTCCAAGTGTTCCCAGAACTCACTGAACTCGTTTTAGTTATTCTGCACATCAGGGAGAGGTTTCATTTCTTGTGGGTCCCCTCCTCCTTCTAACAGAGTCAAGTCCAAACCCCCAGCCCTCTTCTGGCAGCCTTGCCCGGCCTGCCCCCCTATGCCTGCTGTCTCTGGTCCTCAGAAGGTCCCTGCTGGGTTCCTGCTCCTTGGACGAGCTCTGGTCCTGGTCTCCTGGGTCTCTTCAAGCCAGGCCCTGTGAAGCCCTCATCAGCCTTTCACAACTGAGTAAGAATTAGCCGGCAATGAGCAGGACAGGACCGACGCCCGCTCCTGGCACGTCCCAGCGGGCACGCAGAGAAAAGCAGACAAGGGTCCTGGACATCAGTCACAAGCTTTATTGTCTCGAGCACGGACTCGCCACACTTCAACAATTCCACTTCGGGGAGGACAAGGGTTGGGAGGGCTTGGGGACGGGGCACAGGCTGAACCCACACTGGGCAGGGGGAGGCGCTCACAGGCAAAGGGCTTCTTGCCACCTGCCAGGCGCCCTGGGGGCTCAGCCCCTCCTGGTGTGGGCCTTTGGCTGTTAGTAGACTAATCGATGCCTTCTGTAGGCGGGGCGAGCTGCCGGATTTTGCTGGAAAGAGTAGTAGTTAACTCTGGGTTAGGCCACTAAAGCGTCGCTTCTAGACTGTTGTTAATAAAACCGCATGCGAGAGCTACCAGAAGCCAACGGGGAGGTGGCGGGCCGACGGGACGATCTGGCTAACCGCCCCCCGCCCCAAGGATGGGCTGCATTTGGGCAAGAATGGGGGCCCCCTGGGCTGCTCTCAGGGCACAGACTGCATACCCGTCCTGGTGCGTGGCAGGAACGCCTCGATGGGCCGTCAGGCTTCCCCCTTGAGCTCCTAGGAGGGGAGGGCCCCAGAGTGAAAACACTCCCTGAGCTGGGGGGGGGGGGGGGCGGAGGAAGGCCTCCGCGGGGACACTGAGGCAAAGGCAGTAACCTACGGGCCCTCCAGCTCTAGAGGTTTTTCTACTGGCTTTTCCCACCACCCCACAGGCCTGGAGTAACCCAGACGGGCTCGCCGGGCATCGGGGACAGGCAGTTAGATCTTTCTTTTCTACAACGGCTCTTGGGCTCTTTTCTTGGCTGCGGGGACGGGGCTTCCAGAGCTCGGAGCAGGTGCCTGGTAAGCAAGGGGGCTGCTGGCAGGCGTGCCCGCCGACGAATGAGCCCGGCACGCACGTCCCTGAACACACCCACGGGTACCCGGGTGTACACCCACACAGCGCGGCAGCAGAACCGTGTGCTGTGTGTCCGGGCACAGCCCTGCCAGGCCGGGGGTTCGACCCCAGGACCGCAGCGCGGGCATCTTCGGACCGCAAACGCCCCCGCCCACACGGCTGCGCATGCGTGCGAGACCCCCGGTGCGCAGGCCAGGGTCGGTGCGTGTCTGGGTCAGAGCCTGCGTGAGCGTGTCTGCGGGGCAGAGGCCCAGTTCTGGAATAGCTAGTCCACCCCGGGGACGCCGCGTGGCGGACCAGTGCCTGGAGCCCCGGGTCTGGACTCTCCAGCGGCCCCGCTGCCCCAGCTCCCAGCCAGGCCCGTGAGGGGGGATGAGGAGAGGGGCTTCCAAACTTTCCTAATACTGTGGCTCCTGGCCTTATGGTGACCGTCTGGCCAGCAGCTTGGAGCTACATGTATGAGCTGGTGTTGGGGGTGGGGAGGGGAGGACCTTGTCCCCACAACACCTTGAACTTGGGCTGAGCTGGGCAGAGGGGCTGAAGGGGGCTTGTACCACTGTTTGTTGGGACAAGAAGCCTGGGGGCTGCAGAAAAGGGGTCCCCACCTGGCTCCCGAGGACCGGACTGCCCTCCTTGGTGCCTAGGGGGCCTCCTCTGACCCTTTCCCGGGACAATGGCTCTCTGGGGTGTCAGGGGAACCCGGGAGAAGGAGGAGAAGGGAGGGGAGGGACACGCCCGGGGTGCCAAGATGGTGCTCTGGGCGGCTCCTTCTGGGGGTGGGGTGGGGGGCCTGGCCAGATCACCTCAGCCTCCCCCAAACAAATTCCAGAAACTGCTGGGGCATCCAGGCTGTCCAGGCCGAAGGTCCCGGGGGCCAGGCCGGGACTGTACCGCTCTCTGTGGGAGGTCGTGCTTGAGGAAGCCTCCTGGTCCCGCAGGGGAGTCGGGGATGGGGGATTGTCCGAGGCAGTGGGCACGTTATTGTTACAAACACTGTTCTTGTCTCCAAAGTGACAGTCCTGGCCCCTGCCTGGAGGGGGCGCCGCCGGGGCAGGCTGCAGGGGCTGTGGTGTGGATCAGCCGCTCCACGGTGTCCCTCGGGGTCAGTGCTTCTCCTGGAGAGAGCAAGGGCCTGATCAGCAGGTGTCGGACCCTAACCCGTCCCATCTCGCTCTCTGCCCCTCCCCCACAGGCCTCGGCCTGGCGGATTCTGTGGCCCAGGTTCTCCCATCTCTGGATGACACAGTGGCTGGGGGGGCTCCACGGCCTCAAGATGAAAGGAGGAGAGTTCCTTCTCCTGCTCAGCCTCGCCCCTGCATGTTCACTGAGCCTCCCAGGCACCCCGAACATCCGACTCTTGATCTCAGCTCAGGTCTTGGTCTTAGGGTCGTGAGTTCAAGCCCTGCCAGGGGCTCTACACTGGGCGTGGGGACTACTTAAAAAAAAAATAAATAACAGGGCGCCTGGGTGGCTCAGTCGGTTAAGCATCTGCCTTCAGCTCAGGTCATGATCTCAGGATCCTGGGATCCAGCCCCGCATCAGGCTCCCTGCTCAGCGGGGAGCCTCCTCCTTCCTCTCCCTCTGCTGCTCCCCCTGCTTGTGCCCTCTCACACGCTCTCTGACAAATAAATACAATCTTTTAGGGATAATAATAAAATAGTGCTCGCTTCGGCAGCCCATATACTAAGAGTAATAATAAGATAAAATACTCAGTGAAAAACCAGGAGGGAAACTTGACCGTGGAGTATGCCACCTACTCTGTCACGGGCTGTCAGGGGCGCTACTGAGCAGTCACCCCAGGGAACACTGCTCAGGCAAAAGCCATCAACACATGCTCAGTCCGGGGTTGTTCCGGGAAGGCACAGGGAGTTTATGTGATCGTGAAGTCTCTCTCCCTAGACCGCCGGTTAGAAAAAACCGTTAACTGTACAGCGGAGAAATCAGACAATGTCTTGACCTGGTGATCTCAATTCCTGTTGGAGGGAAGGGCAGGTGAACGCCACGCCTGGCCAGCTGGGGGGCCCAGAGGACACCACGCTGAGGACGTATTCTAGCCTGAGATGCGTAACCCGGCTCGAATCACAAGGAACCATCAGCCAAACCCCAAATGAGGACACTTCGCTTAAAGAAAAAAGGAGGGTAAGGGCGCCTGGGTGGCTCAGTGGGTTAAGCCTCTGCCTTCGGCTCAGGTCATGATCCCAGGGTCCTGGGGTCAAGCCCCGCATCGCACTCTCTGCTCAGCGGGGAGCCTGCTTCTCCCTCTCTCTCTCTGCCTGCTTGTGATCTCTCTCTGTCAAGTAAATAAATAAAATCTTAAAAAAAAAATTTCTAAAGGTGAGGTCCAGCATTTAACAATTAAAAAAAAAAAAAAAAAGGAGGGCGGGAGCACCTGGGTGCTCAGTTGGGTCAGCATCTGACTTTGGCTCAGGTCGTGATCCTGGGGTCCTGGGATCAAGAACCCAGTGACACCCAACCTGGGGCTTGAACTCACAAGCCTGAGATCACGAGTCACACGCTCTTCCAACTGAGCCAGCCTGGAGCCCCCGGGGTCATTTTGAACAGCGAGATCACCAGGAAAAAGCATGAAAATGGGAGAAACACGGCACCAAGCGGAGCGTGGAAAGGACGGTTATTGACTCAGAACTGGAACCGGCGGTGAGCATCGCCCTGTGCGGCCTCTGCTGGGACTGTGCCCTGCGGGTGACTCGAATTTCTCTCCATTCTGCGCATGCCCGAGAATGACCTAAAAGGGCCGTGAGTGCTGATTTTGGGGTCACAAATGTCATGAAGTAGGTCGGTTTGCAAATAAGGAATCAGCAAATAATAAGAATTCTGTACATCTGGGACGCCTGGGTGGCTCAGTTGGTTAAGCAGCTGCCTTCGGCTCAGGTCATGATCCCAGCGTCCTGGGATCGAGTCCCACATCGGGCTCCTTGTTCTGTGGGGAGCCTGCTTCTCCCTCTGCCTCTGCCTGCCACTCTGTCTGCCTGTGCTCTCTCTCTCTCTCTCTTTCTGACAAATAAATAAATAAAAAATCTTTGAAAAAAAAAAAAAAAAAAGAATTCTGTACATGTACACACACACACACACACACAGAGGGAAGTTCCACAAAGAGATCATTTAAGAGTTGTCTAGGTCATCTCTAAGAGTACATTCTAAGTTTCCCAGTAGGCACGTAGAACTTTTACTATGTCAGTGTTTGGAAAAAGAGCAACAAGGTGGCAGGAGCGGATGACGGCCGGATGGAGAGTGGCCGCCCTACCTGGGGAGACTCTGGCACCAGGCACCTTTGTAATTGGGGTGGCTTTTCGTGGTTTTTTCTCCTGAGAAGTCAGCCCGTGTGGGAGGGCCGTGGGTGTGGCAGGGGGTCCCCCGGGGTACAGGGCGTCCCTTACCTCTTGTTTGTGGCCCTTGTCTTGCTGGTGGATGCCGTTTGCAGAACTGGAATTGCTGATGGCCTGCAAAGAGTCACGGGCACAGGCTGAGTGAGGGTCACCAGGCAGCAGTTCCTGGTGCGACCACTAGAGGCCACCAGCGGCTCTTCAGAAAGCGGCGGGGGTTGGGGGGTCTCAGGGCAAGGCCACGTCCCAGCTTAGTCTGAGTTCCCCAGGATCAAGCCGTGTACTCCCCTGGGCTGGGACTCCCGGAGGACAGGGCGGAGTCTCCCCGCTCACAGACCAGGGTTCCCAGGACAGGGCCATGCTTCTGACGACAGGGAGCGCCCCACGGCTCGCCGCCCGGTCCGCCCATGCCCGGCCCGGGGCTCACCTGGGACTTGTCGGGGCAGCTCCTCATGGCCTCCATGAGCTTCTCCACCTGCTGAGCCTGGTCCAGGGCGTCCCGCAGCGTGTCCTCCGTGCTCACGAGCTGGCGCTGCAGCCGCTGGAGCTCGGGCGCGGAGGCCGGGTCAATGAGGGAATAGCGCCGCTGGTCCACCAGGGACTTCTCTTTGTCCTGCACGCAGCAGGGGAGACGGAGAGCGCGCGTGTGAGCCTGTGCGCGCTCGTCTGCACGTGTGCACGCGTGTGCTGGGAGAGGACGCGCCTGCCAGCCTCCTCGCTCCTGCACAAACCTGTATCCCACTGTATCACGCTGCCCCTGGGCTGGGTGCTTCCAGATCCTTCTGCTCCGCTGCTCCGCTCTGATCCTCCACTCAAACCTCCCTCACCGTGGGGACTTTCTAACCACCGAGCCCTTCCCTAGTTCTCCTGTGGCACTGGGGACAGCACGGGGGGACACAGGAGAAGCTGCCCTGGGCGAGTTCCCCAGAGAAACTTGACCAGCCTGTGCCCCACGGAGATGAGCCAGAACAGGACTGCCCCTCTCCATGAGGCTCTGGGAAAGCCTCAGGGAATCGAAACTTTGAAGTCCCCACGGGCCCCAGGGCCTTGGCTTCTCCGGAGTTATGCCCAGATGCAGAGCCAAGGGCCCTGGAGTCCTGCCTGCGGGCTAGGCCTGCCAGGATTGGAAGAGTGTGCAGTGAGTGAGCCCCTGGCCCTTGACCCCGAGGGCCCCCAGCTGCAGGCAGGTCCTGTCCCTCTGCCCTGCCCTTGAGGCCTCCCTTCTTCCGTCTCCTCCAATGGCTGAACCCGTGCAGCTGAGCGGGAGGGCACTGGGGGCTTTGGAGCCACATCCCACGGCAGCCGGCCTGTCTTCCCAGAACCTGTCCTGTCCAACCCTGGGACTGACAGGGCCCCATAGCTGGCCACAGGGGGACCAGTGGGGACAATTCTGTCCTGTGTTCCCAGCATGGCCCACCTACTCCAAGCCCCACGTCTGGGGACTCAGCTCAGGCAGGTTCCTGCTCCTGATGGAGGAGTCTTAGCTCCCAGCAGCTCGGGGTTAGAAAGAGCTCTGATAGGTCCCATCTCCTTCCTGAGACAGATGTGTGAATCCCCGTGGCAAAACCCTGAATTAGGAGCTGGTTTCTGGCTGATTACTTCCCTCGATGGGGAGCTCACCACCCTGCAGGAGCCCATCCTAGCTCTGAACAGCTTGGGGTCTTTGGAAATCTTCCCTCTCACTGTGTCACCCAGACTGCCACACGGCCAGCCACGATGTCTGCAAAGGGGTCGCCCGTGGCCCTTCCACAGCTACGTCGCTGGCCCTGTCTGTGATTCTAGGGCCTCTCGAACCCTCCCTGTGACTTGGCTGTCCCTGGGGTGGCTCCAGGACATCGCCAGCCTCCGCCCACCACGGCATGCCCCTGTCCCCAGGCTCCCCCTTGTCCACGCACCAGCCCGGTCAGCTTTTCTCGCAGACCCCGGATGTCGTCCTTGAGCTTCTGCTCCTTGATCCTCCACTCGGCCTTGTGGACCTCGCGGCTCAGGTCCCTCTCGGGCCCCGGGGAGTGGCGATTGGCCTCCAGCAGCAACACTCGAAGTTCGTTCAGGCTCCTGGCGGGATTCGGTGGGCGGGCACAGGAAAGCCCGTCAGCCCTGGCCCTCAGCTCCCACATCCCGGCGATCCGCCAGCTGCCTACGGGCTGGCTGCGCTAAGGGAGGGCGATGGCTGTGCAGACAGCGCCCGGGCCAGGAGGGGCCACCATGAAAACGTGGGGCACAAAACCGTTTGGTGGCAGCCCGAGAGGGGCCAGGATTTGGGGATGGGATGGTCAAGAGGACGGGGCCTTTTCTAGAATGTTCTTCAAGTTTTAAAAACGGAGAACAGAATATCTGTTTGATTAAAAATTAAATAAAACAGGGGCGCCTGGGTGGCTCAGTCGGTTAAGCATCTCCCTTCTGCTCAGGTCATGATCCCGGGGTCCCGGGATCGAGCCCCACATCGGGCTCCCTGCTCAGCGGGGAACCTGCTTCCCCCTCTGCCTCTGCTCCTTCTCCCTGCTCATGCCTTCTCTCTCTCTCTCTCAAATAAATAAATAAAATCTTTAAAAAAATATATAAAAATAAAAATCTTTTAAAAAGTTTAAATAAAACATTCATCCAAGAGAGCTCATGTGGAGACACTTTCTATTTTTTTATTTATTTTTTAAAGACTTAATTTTTAAGTAACCTCCACATCCAACGTGGGGCTCGAACTCACGATCCTGAGATTGAGTCTCATGCTCTCCCGACTGAGCCGGCCAGGTGCACCTAAGTGGTATATTAATAATACTCTGAAAAGGATATTAAAATACTCCTCTCTCTTTTCCAACTACATTATCTACGTAAGGTCAGATTTTCATAACATACTTCAAAATAACAACTGCAAAGACGGAAAGCAGAGGAAGATACGAGAATCGGGCTGTCTTCTACAAATTACAAGACCCAGAAAATTTGCAAAAATGTAACACGATGCCACTCTTTTCCTAAAATAATTTTTGTTTTGGAAAACGGTCACTTTTTTAAAAAATTAATTAATTATTTATTTATAAGATTTTATTTATTTATTTGCAGAGAGAGACAGCTAGAGAGAGAACAAAAGCAGGGAGAAAGGGAGAGGGTGCAGGGCGCCCGACGCAGGGCTCCATCCCAGGACCCCGGGATCATGACCTGAGCCGAAGGCAGACGCCCAATGACTGAGCCACCCAGGCGCCCCAGAAAAACGGTTACTTTTTATCAAAAGCATATTATTTACATGTGATGCAACTGGCTTGTTATAATTTTTAAGTGGATTTAGAAAGATTAGTAAACTTCTGTTTTAATTGATAATATGGTGATTACAGAATAAATAAACAAAAGCTTTTTGGGAATCCTCGGTCCTTGTTAAGAGTTTAAAGGGATCCCAGAGACCAAGAAGTCTGGGAACCACCAGTGTTGCCTGCAGGCTCTGCTTGGAGATCTGTGTTGAGAAGGATTCTGAGGTTTCATCGGAGCAGAGGATGGCGATTGTCCGTGATGCCAGGCACCTGTCTCACCCGCCCCTCCCCTGCCCTGCCTCCGGAGAAGACTGGCTAATGTCCGGCGGAATGGGGTCAGGGTCAGGGTCAGGGTCAGGACCGCCCTCAGTGGACTCACCGCTCCTTCCGGAGCAGCTCCTGGCTGATGAGGACCAGCTGGCCCGAGGCGTCGTGCGTCTTTCGGGACACGGCCTCCAGCTCTGCCTCCAAGCGCCGCTTCTCCTTCTGGAGGGCGTCCACCTTCTTCTCTCCCGACTTGCACTTTGTCTCCAGTGCTGAGGGTCAGACGGCAGGGAAGGCAGAGAGAGGGTCAAGCTCTCCATGAGAATCTGTCTCCGCTGGGGGTCGGGGAGCCAAGTCCCGGGCAGGGAGCTGGTTTACATGGGGGACCAGGGTGACGCACTCCACAGAGCGGGTCTTTCTTGTCCTGGCGAACCAGCAAGGGGCCGAGAGAACAGCCACACAGAGCAGGCCACAACCCCAAGTTCAGCCACACAGGCCCTTTGGTGTGGGGAGAAGCAGGCCACCTGTCCCGAGACAGGCCCTGGGCATCGACACTGCGACCTGGACAAGGGAAGGCTAAATCCTCCCCTTAGCCTTGGAGAGGTCTGAGGTCAACCGCCCTTTGTGGGGACCAATGAGGCCACGTGAGCGTCATGGGAACTGGACAGAAGTGGGGGTGGGGACCACTTCCCGGGACGGCGGCCGTCTCACGGACATCACCACTGGCATTCCAGGACGAGAAGCAGGGCCAGTTCTCAGAATCACAAATTCCAGACCTGTGCCTCTCTCTAGGCTCCCCTTCTGCCCTTGTGTCCCCTGTGTCTCGCTCCCTGCTGTGGCCAGCATCCTCCCTGCCCCCCAAGTCCGAAGGCCTGTATTTCATCTAGAAAGGAGCCGGAGGCACATGCACTCTATGTGCACGACCAACATTAAAGTCAAGACGAGAGATGGGGCGCCCGAGCAGCTCAGTCGGTTAAGTGTCTGCCTTCGGCTCAGGTCACGATCCTGTGGTCCTGGGATCGAGCCCTGCATCGATCAGTGGAGAGCCTGCTTCTCCCTTTGCCTCGGCCGCTCCCCCTGCTTGTACGCTCTCTCTCAAATAAATATTTTTTAAAAAGAAGTCAAGAGGAGAGAGAAAGCTGATGGAACTTCAGAACACAGAGAACACAGACCTGGCTCTATGGGAAGAAGGCAGCGGGGCGCTTGGCCATCTTAGAGATGATGTGGGGGTCACACTCTTCCACTCTCCGCTGCTCAGGTGGGAGTCCGAGCAGGGGGACTGGCCCACATCGCCCTCTCAAGGCGGAGTGGGAGAGGGCACCCGGACCCAGAAGCCAACCCAGTCCACGCCCCACTGGCTTGAGACCCCCGTGAGAGCCCCCCGCATCTGCCCTGCGGCAGGGAGACTTACCACTTACTTGGGCCCTGAGCATCTCGGTCTGGGACATCAAGGCTGTCACCTCTTTGTCCCTCTTGTTCAGCTTGTCCTGCAGGCCTGGGGGAGAAAGGAGAGACAAGGGGCCATAATGTTGCAAGGGCAGTGGGTGAGGGCGTGGCCCTCCCGCAGGAACCTGAAAACGAGGCCACACTTGGCCTCCAGGGTCCACATCCTTCCCCACACCAGCCCTCTCACGGGGGGACCCACTCCAAAGACGCCTCCAATACCACGCGGTCTCAGGCCATTTAACTCTTGGGGAGTCTGTTTCCCTGAGTGAAAAATGGGGACAGTCACGGCGCCCGTGTCACACAGCAGTATGTTCGAGAGCCTCAGAATGGTCCCCAACAGGATGATCTACGGAACGTGCTAGAAACACATCCACTTCCCATAAGTTAATAAGTGTACGTAGGATATCCATAAAAATACCAACAAGATTTTCACTCTTACGGAACTACGTTAGCTGATTCTGAAATCACTTGGAAGATAAGCAAGACCAGCCAAGAGGTTCTAGCAAATCCTTCCTCAGTGCGTTAAGACCCAGAACACACGGGCACACCCCCAAAAACGGGAACAGGGACTCGCATGCGTCTCCTTGTGCGTGTGTACAGCAGCACCACTCCCAAGAGCCGGGAGGCAGAAACAGACCAGCCCTCCATCAAAGCTGGAGGAGGAATAAGACGGGGGCACACGATGGCATATTACTCGGGCATGAACAGGAACGGAGCGGTGACACGTGCTACATAAGTGAACCTTGCTTATAGTGCGCTCAGTAAAAGCGGCCAGGCGTCCACCTATGGCATGATGCCATCTGTACTGGACGGCCTGAATGGGCAAATCCATAGACAGAGAGCAGACCGGTGCCTGTCAGCGGCTACAGGGAGGGCAGCCGGCAGGGAAGGGACTGACCATGGGCACGGGGTTTCCTTCTGGGGAGATGAACATGTTTTGGAACTAGATGGAGGTCGCGGTTACAGAATACTGATTGAACATACTAAATGCCCCCCGAATTATTTACTTTAGAACAGTTAGTTATGGGCGCCTGGGTGGCTCAGTGGGTTAAAGCCTCTGCCTTCAGCTCAGGTCATGATCTCAGGGTCCTGGGATCGAGCCCCGCATCAGGCTCTCTGCTCAGTGGGGAGCCTGCTACCCCCTTTCTCTCTCTGCCTGCCTCTCTGCCTACTTGTGATCTCTCTCTGTGTGTCAAATAAATAAATCAAATATTAAAAAAAAAAAGAACAGTTAGTTATGTCTTAATGTTGCAGCTTAAAAAAAAAAAATCAGCCAAAAGAATTTACAATTTTGAAAAAGCAGAGCAGGAAGGACTAGTCCAGAGGGACTAAAACATAAATAAAGTCTGGGTGGCTCAGTCAGTTAACTGTCCGACTTTTAATTTTTGGCTCAGGTCATGATCTCTGGGTCATGAGATCGAGCCCTGCGTCAGGTTCCCTGCTGAACACAGAGTCTGCTTGTCCCCTTCCCTTCCCTTCTGCCCTTCCACTTGCTCCTCTCTTTCTCTCTCTCTCTCTCACTAAAATAAATAAATAAAATCTTTAAAAGAAATCTGCATGGCATGCATGACCATAAGAAAAGTCAAAAGACAAACTACAAATGGGGGAAAAAATGTTTGCAATGTCATATATAAAGAGTTTCTAAAAATCAACAAGAGGATCAACAACCTGCTAGGAAAAAATGAGCCAAAGATGCAAGCAGAACACAGGACATGAAGAAAGAAAAGGGCGAGTTGAAGTTACATCTTTCACCACTCAGAGTGGCAAAGACCACAAAATGTGATGAAATATTTTGCTGGTGAAGCTTGTGGGGAAACATACTTTCAACCTCAGCTGGTGGGAGTTGAAGTTTTGAGCCCCAAAGAGCAGAAGGTAATTTACTGAAGCAATGTAATAGACAAAGACTGGAAACAACACACAATCCATAGGTAGGAAACTGGGTAAACACATGACAGGGCTCCAAGCAAAGGATTATTCTCCGTCATGGAAGAGACTGGAACAGACTGGAACAGTCTCCAAGAAGCACTGTAAAGTGGACAAGAGAAAGGGGTGGAACGGCACGGGAGGTGTGGCTGGGCGACCCAGGTGTTTGTGCATAAGCGTCTCTGGAAAGGAACCGTAAGTTGGCCAACGTGGTGCCTTTAGGGAGAGAACTCAGGCGACAGGGCACCCTTTTCCAGATGCTGCCCTTTGACCCACTAGAAGTTTATATATTAAAAAAAAAAAAAGTTAAAACCAAACAGGTAACAAGGGGTTTAGCCCAAGGCCCGGCACTTCATAAGCCCAAAAGCCCAGGGTCCCACCCAGCCCCATGGCCACTCACCCTCTATAGTCTCCTTCATCCTGATCTTCTCCCCTGAAATGTCGTTGGACTCAATCATCTGAAAGAAGAGCGTGGTAAGGGGGTCGCTCAGCCCCCCCCCCCGCCCCCCCCCCCCCCCCCCCCCCCCGCCGCCAGCAGAGCCAGCACCCCTCACCCCTACAGGCTGGTTCTCAGGGACTTGATATGGGGGCAAGGAGCACAGATGTTCTCCATCCTGCCCCCTGACAACAGAGGACCCCCCTTCCTGCTCCCAGTGCCCCCGAAGGCTGTTTGTGCAGCTTCCCCAAGAACGCTTCCCATCCCTTCCTTTGTTGCAAATGTCTATTATGTTAAACAGATGTCTCCTCCCCTGGGACACCCACAGAGATCAGTCCTGGAAATCTGTTTTCATCATTATCCAGAGGCAAAATCCCCGGCTTGGTTTCTCATCCATAAAACAAGCATCAGCAGCCACAGGGCAGCTCCCAGAGGGACTTCAAGGAAAGCTACTTCCTCTCCCTCCAAGACTTCTTTTTAATAATAAACCCAGAAGCCAAAGAAGAAAAGACCCATTAAGAAAAACAAATCCTGATGGCAAACGTCAACAGGATGCCCGCGGCTCCTCGGAAAAAGTGTCCAGACTCTGCCCAAGCTGGCTGTCCTCTGGGCCTGCGGTTCGCCAGTCTAACACTGAGGGGCAGCAGAGAGCCAAGCAGGCAGTCACCTCCATCAACCCGCCCCTCATACTTCTGTTCATACATCCCAAGCCCCCTTCTGAAGTCTCAGCCAATTGTCCCTACACTTAAACCTCTGCATCTGGGAGTCATGTGGGTCCAGACTGAAGCTCCATGTGTGTGAAAATCAAGAGATGGGCCTTCCTGAGGTCACTGCCCACTCCTTGGCCTAAGGTCTGTGACTGAGGGGAAGGGGGCCGTCCCCACAGCAGTCCCAAACCGCCTCTGGTAAGGGACTCTCCCTATTCTGAGCAGCCAACCAGGCCTCGGGCACACAAGCAACTCTGGGGGCTGTTCCTTTCCCCTCTGCCCAGGATCCTGGGAAAACACTTGCTAAAAATGGTCCCTCCCTAGGAGAAGGGGGCAGAAAGGCTGCCACAACGGACCTCCAGAGGGGACACAGGCAGAGGTCCCTCTACAAAACAGGCACCCATTTGTGAAACTCCTGAACACTTACAGCTAGAAGTTACTCTAGTGTAAATGCCCAAGGAGACTCGGACGCCCAAGGAGGCCCAGGGCCTGTTTAAAGGCAGTGATCACGCCACTCGCTGTCCCTCATCTGGGATCTGACCTGTGTCATCCTGGGCACCCTCAGCCGGCCCTCCAGCAGCGGAGCTGGGCCTGACCTCCACCGCTGGTGGGCAGGAAACCCCGCCTCGGGCTTGCTTTGCTCATCTATGAGACAGAGCTAACACTAACCTTGCGAGGGTTAAGGTAAGAAAAGGCAACACAGGTCCCGGCACAAGGGTTTGGTGGCCAGAGCTACCCAAAAGGCCCTTCCTGGAGGGCATGCTCACAGCCCACACCACCCAAGGCCTGGGCCTCCCCAGCATGCTGAGCTGAAGGAAGATGTACTAGATGTTTAGAGGACTTCTAGATTCAGACCAGAACGGATACTGTAGCAACAGCCGCTCTGGACCTATGCCCTTCCAGCCTCCCACTGCCCACTCTGGAGACCCCACACTCTGGCCGTGACTGTTGTTCAGGCTCAGCAGGACTGGCAAAGGGGGCCGCCCTTAGGTCACCTAGGTTGGTGCCTGTGTTGGGAAATGGGCCCCCGCCCCCCCGCACCATGGAGCTCCTGGTGCTGGCGCCTTGGGGAGATCCAGGAGCCCGCAGAGTGGGACACGTCTGGGAGAATCAGGGGCCTGGGGATGGGGAGAAACCCTGTGCCCTGGGCCGACGTACGCATCTCTCCAGGCCCAGCCAGGTCAGCTCTGCCCACCTTGGGTCCCACGGTCACCCTGTCCTACCAATGGAGGGATGGGGGGGTTCCTCTGGTCTCGCGTGGGCCTGGCTGGAAGAAGGGGTCCGCCAGCGCTGGGGCCCCCGTGGCCCCGTCCCCCCGCCCCAGCCATCCCGGCCCGAGAGGCGGCTGCCTACGTTGCTGTGCTGGGACGAGCACAGGGACTCGACGGCCTGCAGTCTGTTTTCAGCCACCAGAAGCCTCTCCCGCAGCCTCTCGGCCTCCTGCTTGCTCTGAGCTTCCGACCGCTGCAGCAGCTCATGGTCCAGCATCTTCTTCTCGGCCAGGGAGATCTGCTCCTTGAGGAACTCGATGGCCTGCGCCTGGCCCCGATACTCCGCGTCCAGCTTCTCCAGCTCGTGCACCCGCAGCTCAGCGTCGCGGCACCGGTCCTGGGCCTCCTGCAGCTCCAGCCGGTGCTGGCCGGCCTGCGCCTCCAGCTGGGCCCGCCAGTGCTGCCGCAGCCCGGCCAGCTCCTCCTGGGCCTCCTGCAGCTTCTGCCGCAGCCCCTCCTTCTCCTTGACGTGCACGGCCGTCTCGATGTCGTGCTTGGCCCGCAGGTTGCCCAGCTGCAGCTGGTGCTCCATCTTGATGCCCTCCATCACCGCCTTCAGCTCCCCGATCTCCTTCTGCTGGGCGCCCGGGCCCGAGTTCAGGGTGGCCTTGAGGTCCTCCAGGGACTTCTGGTGGTCCGAGGCCAGCGAGTCCAGCTTGGACTTCCAGTTGTCCATGAGGCCCATGTTCTCACTGGTGGCCTGCTGCACCTTGGCCTTGAGGTCCACCACCTCCTGCGCGTACTTCTCGTTGGCTGCCCGGAGCTTCTCCACCTCCGCCTGGTAGGCCCGCAGAGCCTTCTCGTACTTGTCGCGCAGGGCGCCGCTCTCCCGCTGGTGCTCCTGGCTGGCGGACAGCAGCCGCTCCCGCAGCCGCAGCGTCTCGGCCGCCTCGGGGTGGTCGGCCGGCGGCGGGCCCGAGTGCCGCAGGCACTGCTGCAGCTCCTCGATCTCGCCGCGGCGCAGGCTCAGCTCCTCCTCCAGCTGCAGCACGCGCGACTGCTCGGCCACCGTGGTCAGCTGGCGGGGGAGAGGCAGGCGGAGGTCAGTGGGCGGCAGGGGGGGCGGGGGGACAAGGCCGGGGAGGGGGAGCTCTGTGGAAGGGAAGGGCGCCCCCCGACCCCAGCACCCGACCCGGGCGCCACCTGTGCCCGGGAGCACCCCCTGCCCCACTCCCGGCCACAGCCTCTGGAGAGACTTCCCTGGCCTGTAGTCCGGTGGCCCAGGGACTAGGTTGTCCCTGCGGCCCTGGGTGGCTCGGGACAAATTGGTGGTTAAAAGAAACCACCTGTTGGGAGGTTCTGGCTTTCCTGAGGAGGGAGCGTTGCTTTATCCGGCTCGGGGAGGGTCCCCAGCCGGAATGGGTGGATTCACTAGGAGGGTCGTCTAGAGCGGGTGGCCCAGGAAAGGTAGGGCTTAATGCCTAAGGCAGAACAAAAATAGTGCTCCCAGACGCACCTCCTCACGGATAACAGATGAGAGGCTCATCCCCGCCCCCACCCCCTCCAACCCCACCTAGATCACGACAATCGAGGTCGTATTTGGAAACGATACACTTACAAGTTTTAAATCTCTTCCTAACTGAAAAAAAAAAAAAATGTTGTTTCCGAAGGTGACCTTTAGTTCTGTAAATCCAGTTTTGTCTTTCTAATCAGGGTGACCCCCAGATCAAGGTGCCTCGGGGTGGCGGGTTCCAGCCCGCCCTGGTGACTGGGTCGGTTTCTGTAAGCAGCCTCCTCGTACGCGCGCGTCCCGCACAAGCACACACGGTCGCCTAACCGCGGCCGGTGTGTGCAAAGGGACGCCCGGGTGTCTCCGGACATGCACACACACGCACACGCTCACTTGTGTGCCGAGACTGACCTGCAGAAACGGACCGCGGCTTGCCCTGGCCCGCACCCTGTTCAGATGGTCTGCCCCGTCTCCGCTAGCTGGCTGTTGGGCTCCGTGGCCAGACCTGCAGCCGGGCTGGGCTGGCCAGCTGTGTGGATGTGTGCACCTGCTCAGGGGCCGGCCCTGGGGCAGATTGGGGGAGCCGCAGAGGGGCCAGTAGGGCCCAGACGTACCCCCCCACCAGAGGGTCTACTGTATCTCAACGGCCCCACCACTGCGTCTAATACAGAGTCTTATGCCCCAGGGACACTCCCACACCCCCAAAGCTCCAGATCCTCCAGGCGAGCCCCTCCCACCACCAGAATTAAGACCCGCTAGACTAGAGAAGCCGGGATCTGCACTCCCCGACCTCCGGCCTTCCTCAGCCTCCCGAGCCTGGGGAGAAGGGGAGAAGGGAGGCGTGGATAAGTTTCCCTTGCACCTGCCCATATATATATATAAGGGGCAGACCGTTCCCAAGAGCCCCCCACCATTTCTGAACTTGACAAAGCCTGGCGTTGGCAATGCATAGGGAGGCAGGGACGGGGAGGGCCTCGCAGGACACCCCCAGCCAGTGGGACCATGAGCTGGGTGCAGGGGCTGGGACAGCCAAGGCCCCCTCCTCCCCAAAAAGCGTCACGTGGCAACGGCAGAGAAGCATCCCTAACCCTTGACTTCCCTCCTAGAAGGGGCCAAAAAGCGAAACACAACGAGGAGAGCAGCCAAAGACGGAGAAAATAATAAAACAGAGAAGCCGAAGGAGGCGAGGAGGGGCGGAGGCGGCGGGCCGGGGGCGGCGTTACCCTGTTGTCGGCTAATTCGCGGAGCAGCCGCTCGGCCTGCGCCTTCTCCAGCAGCAGACTCTGCTCCAGCTCCCCAATGCGGGCGTGCTCCAGCTGCGTCTGGGTCTGGTCCGCCCGGGGCGGGAGGGGAGGCGGCCCAGGGGAGAGGAGTACAGGGCAGAGGAAGCCGGAGGAAGACAGAGAGAGAGAGAGACAGAGAGAGAGAGAGAGAGAGGCTGCGTCATCTTCCGTGCACAAGACAGGAGAACAGGTCAAGGACAGGAGGTGGCTCGGGGACAGAGGAGGTCTGGGGAGGGGCCGGGCCGGGCTGGCCAGCTGCCCCTCGCCACCGGGATTGTTCAAAGGCAGGGAAGGGGCTGCGGCAATCCTGCCCCCCAAGCCACCCCACCGCAGAGCGGGTGGTATCAGGGCACCAGACTCCCGCCTGTCACCCCTTGGCGGCTCTGGGGAGGGCCCCCCGCCTGCTCCTGCTCCCCATTCAGGTGCCTGCCCGTTTTCCGCCCAGATCCCGCACGCTGCAGGCCCCGGGATGGACGGATCTGTAAAGGAACCCAGGACTCCCGGCCCCCCAGGCCTGAGCTGAAGGCACAGAGCCATTCGAAAGGGAAGGTTTTACAAGATACCCCTACCCCGCGGGGAAGGCCTGGTCTCCGCAAAGCACAAGAACGTCTCTGTTCCGGCTTCCCACGCTAACAAAGCCCAACTTTCTCGGGCCATCCAGCCGGGCATCTGCTCAGAACAGATCTGCAAGGGTGGCCAGGGCCAAGGGCGCCGGATCCAGGCCCCCCGGGGCCAATCTGGAGACCACGTTCGTTCATCGCCGGGAGAAGCCAGGGGGCCTCCTCAGCCTCCAGCCCCCGGAGAACCTGTGGGGCCAGTCTGAAGAGGCAGCCGGTGACTCAGGGACTTGACTGTCCCTGCAGCCCGTCACCAGCAAGGGTGATGCAGACAGCAGGGACCCACCCAAGAAACACGCGTGCGGTTCCTGCACAGCTAGAGACGCCTGTGTCGTCTGGCCTAGCATCTGATCTCTGAGAATGTTCCTGAAGGAACAACTGGAAAGCTTCTCTGTCCCTGTGTCTCAAGAATGCGGCACGTCACAGTGCTAATGAGCTGCCAGGCTCAGGCTTCTTCAGGAAATTACAGGCTGACAATGATGTCTCGGTGTCAGCCCCTGGGTGGTGGCCGGGGTGGGGCGGGGGCCTCGTCCCCACCCTCCTCTCCTAGAGGGTGGGCCCCACAGCTCAGCCGGGACCCATGCTAGGCGGGCCCGATTGTAAATGATTACTGGTGGTCCCACAGACAAGAAAAAGCCCCCAGCCTCACAATCCCAAGTTTCACTCGGTGCTCCCAAAAGGACACCCCTACTGCCCCGCATCAGCCTCATCCCAAACTTCTAGCCTCCTGGTTTGTAGGCTGGGGTCTCCACAGGGGCACAGGAGGACCCAGCGGACTCGCTTCAAGGGCTTAATTAAGATAAATTCAACCACAGAAAGCTGAAGGATGGAGAAGAGCCTCTCAGGCTACATTTTGGAGACGGGGGGCAATCTGGCTTTCCATCAGCTCCAGGGGCACTGCCCAGGGTGTGAGGAGTGGGGCCACCACGCTCCTGCTTCTCAAGCTCCCTGGAGCTGCTATTCATCAGCTGTGCCCACGGTTGAGGTGCTGGAGGCAGCGTGAGTGAGGGCGGACGCCACTTCTGTCTCGAGTGCTAACTATAGGACCCAACCCCCAAGGGGAGGGTGTCGCGGCTGTCTCCCCAGCTCCCAAGTGGGAGTGGCTACTCCAGACAGACGAAGCCTTGGCCGGGATCGGGAATCACACAGCAACTGGGGGCAGCTCCAGGTCGGGAACTCAGACACCCCCGGTGCCAAGACTGGTGCCTCTGCCTGGAACCGGCCGAGCTCCATAGTGGGGATGGTGTTGGGGTGGGGAGCCACAGACTTCCAGGGGCAATACGGACCATCAAAGGGGGCTCCTGGAGCAAGGGACCCCCATTTCCCTGCCGCAACTCAAATCTAGGAGCTCGGCCAAGCCCTGCCTACACCCCGCACCTGCAGCATGGCCTCTCCCTGCAGACACAGGGTCCGCACCCCCACGAAGCACAGAGCCACTGTCCCGAGATACCCCTCAGGTAACTGAGGGCTGGGATCGTTAATGGGGGAGGAGATGCCCCACCTGCACTAGGGGCCCCTGAAGGTCAGGGGCACGTGTCACCGCTCTTGACCTCTCTCTAGTCCTCACAGCGCACAAATCGACAGGGAGCGGATTCTGAGTTCACAAGCCTGGCCCTCTCTGCTCCCATGGGTCCTCCCAGGCAAGTGACCGACTGACCCAACAGGTGCTATTTAATTAACAAAATCGTAACACGTTTTAAGCCCTGGATGATTGATTAATCAACAACCACCAAACCCCGAGAAGGTCGAGTCCCCACTGGGGCGGCAGCGGGGAGAGGCATGCACATTTTCACGGTGCATCGTGGCAGACATCCACTCAAGAACCAGAAAGCCTGGCCCCAGCCCGCGACCTGGGATTCCCACCTTCCCAGGGCTCCTTGCCTGTTCCAGTCGTGGGGACTTAAAGGTGCACGAGACAGACAGGGTCCCTGCCCCCCAGGGGCATACACTGCGGGGAGGGACAGAAATGATAGATGATTTCAGGTTGTGGGTGCGGCTGGGAACAGGGCTCAGGGTGGGGGGCGCGGCGGACAGATGTACTACCGAAGAGGCAGAGGGGGCGTCTCTGAGAGAGACCGTGGGAGGTGAGGCCCGAAGGAGAAGCAGGAATCAGCACACGGAGTAGCTCAGAGGCAGACAGAGCTTGGAGCATCCAGGAACAGAGAACCCCCACGTGCCTGCAGCCCAGGGGCACGGGCTGGGTCCCCAAGGGGCTCCTCTGGGCCCTTTACCTGGGCTCGTGGTGTCAGAGGTGCGAGCACAGCAGCGGCAGGAGCTGGTTAACCTTCTTAAGAGATCTGGTCGGTTTGCTTTACTGTAACACTGAGAGGGGGCCGGTTTGGGGGGTGGGGACTGGAAGAAGATGGGCCATGAGCTGACAGTCACTGAGCCCGCTGACCCACCAGTGATGCGGGCTTCTTGCCCTTCTTCCCTATTTATGTGTAGCCTCCAAACCTCCCAGAGTTAAAACTTGCAAAGCTTCAGTGAGGACAGCAGGTAGCAGAGAAACACGGGAGGTGCCAAGTAGAGGCTGGTGCGGTTGTCTGAGGCAAGGTGCTGGGGGCCTGCCTGGCCCAGGAAGGCGGCCCACGGGGAGGCAGAGAAGGTCAGAGGCAAGGTCAAGGTCAGGATTTCTGACAGAGGGATGACGGAAAGATTCAAGATGAGTCAGCTAAGCAACCATCTGTGGGATTGGGCGGTGGGGGGGGCGACGACAGGAACAAATGCTCTGGGTTGAATAGTGTCCTCCCAAAACCTCACCTTTACCTGCAGCCTCCGAATGGGACTCTGTTCTGGAAGAAGGGTCTCGGCACGTGTGACTCGTTAAGATGAAGTCATGCCGGATGAAGGCGGACCCCAACCCCAGTGACCGCTGTCCTTACTTGAAGGCAAGTCAGAGACACAGGAACACACAGGCACAACGGCCGCATGACGACAGAATCAGTGACTCAGTTTCAAGCCGAGGGATGCCAAGGGTTTGCCAGCAGCCTTACCGAAGCTGGGAGACAGGCATGGAACAGGCTCTCCCTCAAGCCTGACAGAGGAAGGAAGCCTGCCGACCCCCGGATTTCAGATCTCTGGCTTCCAGAACAGCGAGAGAGGAAGTTTGCATTGTTTTAAGCCACCAAATTGCGGTCATTTGTTACGGCAGCCCGGGGAGGCTGCTGCTGGCACCGTCCTCCCTCCTCCTGGGGGAGACGTCCGGTAGGCAGGCCGGTGTGCGTGCAGGGGGCACGAGGGAATCGTGAGCTCACAGAGGACGCTGAATGACACAGACTGACGCTCTCAGGGACAGTGTAGGTCGAGGGACAAAGGGGCCCTGGGACAGGCCGACATTTAGAGATCTGGAAGGAGGCTAAGAGGTTAGAACCAGGGAGTGAGGCCAGGAGGAGGACAAGCATTGAGATTGGGGTGACAGCTGGTGGGAGACCAGGAACTCACAGGAATGCGCTGGGTTTTATTTTTGACTCCCGAGATGGGTGGGTGTGAGCAGAACTTTGGGACCATTTGCGTTCTGGTCGTCATGAATGTGGTCACAAGGAAAACAGCAGCAAGGGGACCCTGGTGCCCCCCGACTGGCTGTCTGTCGCTGTCTGTCAGGGTCTCTCCCAGCCGTTCCCAGTTGGGGCTGAAAGGCGCCGGGATGGACACCGGATCCAAAGCAGGCCAGCTCATTGTCTAGCCTAGGACCAGAGGACAGAGGCATGTGCTGGTGGGAGGAGGGTGCTGGGCCCTGGGCAGGGCCAGGAGGCGGTGGGTGGGCGGGGCCAGAGGTGGGTGGGCGGGGCCGGAGGCTGGCAGGTGGGCGGGGCCAGGAGGCTGCAGAAGGCGGGCAGGAGGCTGGGGGTGGGGCAGGAAGAGGGAGCAAACCTGCCTAGAGCCCAGGAGATACAACAGGCTAGAGAAGAAAGGGAGAGACAGACAGACGAGGAGACTGACCACAAGTAAGGAGCCGAAGGAAACCTCTGAGCAAAGAAGGGACTTGGCTCCTGATGCCATTTCTCGCGTTGGGTCCTTGAACTGCCGGTGACAGCTCCCTGTAGCCTTTCAGTAACCCCCCTCGAGTGACGTGCGCAGGAGGGGTCTCCGTCCCTTGCAAGCACGGGTGCTTTTTCCAGAAGCCCACCCCAACTCCTGCAAAGAGGGCAGCCGCCTGGCAGGAGAGCCAACCACATGCAACCACACAACCTGCCCCCTTGGCTGAGAGGGAACCTACAAGACAATGTCGTAACGCTGGGCTGGGGTCCTACATTGGGATTGTACCCCGATATCCATCCTTAAAGCTAGGTGGCAAAATCTGCTCCATTAGGGGCAGCCGCCAGGAACCCTACCCCGATCACACACACACCCCTCCCCCAGCCAGGGTCACCCAGGGACAGGACAAGCACAGGCATAATTCTGCTGGGCAGCAAAGTCACGGGCCCTTAAGGCAGCTCTTTCACAAAATCAGAAACTATAGTGTCCAGTTTGGGCTCAGAAATTATCTAGTATAGGGGCGCCGGGCTGGCTCAGTCAGTGGAGCCCACAACTCTTAATCTCAGGGTTGTGAGTTTGAACCCCAACTTGGGTGTAGAGATTCCTTAAAAATAAAATCTTAAAAAAATATTTAAAAAAAAAGATCGAGTGCAGTGATTCCCCCAAGTATGGTCCCTAGACTGGCATCACCTGGGAACTTGCTAGAAATGCCAGTTCTCAGATCCCAGACCCATCGAATAGGGAGGCTGGGCCCAGCACTGTGTCTGAACACGCCCTCTAGGTGATGAATTCAAGTCTGAGAATCACTACCTAGTTTAACCTCCTCATTGTGCAGATGAGAAAAGGGAGGCCTGGGAAGGGAAGGGACTGCCCAGGGCCAGTTAGGACCAGGCCAGTGTGTGGAGGACTGAACTCACTGCCCCCCGCCCCATCTGATGGCTCCAGGAGCCCCCCTCATCCCTGTCACCTCCCAGGGAGCTGGGAGGACCACAGCAGCAAGGCATTCCTGCGCACCCAGCATTGGCCGCGTGAGCCCTGAGGTCTGTGTGATGTGGTGGAGGGCTGGGTGGTGGGGGGCGTTCACTGACTGATAGGCTCAGAGCGGGTAGGGTGAGCAGGGGCTGAAAGGCTCACCTTTGCCCAGACCACCTGTCCAGGTGTTGTAACACAGGAGGCGCCCTAAGTGGTCCTCCTCACGGCGGAGCTCGGGAGGCAGGAGTCGCGGGTCCTGACCCCAGGGGCTGCAGCCTCGCTCCCTGATCGGGTGAGTCCCTTTGATTTTCTGGGGCTGCTGTGCCATGCCTAAGCCCTGAGACCCAACAACAAGCTACTTCCAGCCCAAACGTCACCTGGAGTCCAAGATAAATAAAGGACCCACGGGACACTTCTAGGGCGACTGTCCAACAAAGAAGGGACAGGGGAGTCCAGCCACCATGTCCTAAGGCTACCCTAGTCCACCCCACCTGGCAGCCAAACAAAAGAAGGCCTGCCCTCCGCCCCCGGGGCTCCTGGAGCTGAGCCACTCCCCGCCCCCCAACACCGGAGTCTCTCATGACCTGCCCCTCCCCATCCTCCCAGGGGCCTCTTCTGGATTTCCCCCTTGAAATGTCCCCAGCCCCCTCCTGGGGAGGCCAGAGCTGCTGCCTGGTCCTCAGGACCGTGTGCCTGGCAAGGGCTGGGCCGGGGCAGTGGGGAGTGGAGCTAGGGCAGGGGTGGGGCGGGGCGTTACCTCCAGGTCTCCTTTGGTGATGGATTCCTCCTCCACCCGGAACTGCAAGTCCTCCACCTTCCTGCGGGGGGGGGGGGGGGGGGGGGGGGGGGGGGGGGCGCACCTCAATGAGGGCAGGGAGGGGTGAGGCCGGGAGCCAGTGCTCAGGCCCGGAGAAGGCACCGTCCCAGAGTCATGGTGATTGGGGCAGAGCCTCCTGGAAACCTCTAGCCCTCCCAGTGTCCCGCCCCGTGCTCCACTCTGAGACCACAGGATTCTCTAAAAGGGGGGCAAGTCAGGCAACATCCTTCTCACCTAGGGTGGCTGTGGGATGAGAAAGGATGGGCGGTCCTGCTGCTGTCCTCGGGGAGGGAGGGAGTGTGGGCTTCTTCCCCTGCTGACCACTCTCGCATCCCTTCCCCACAAAATCGGGGCCCGGAGCCATGGAGCTGCTCCCTAACAAGGGCCCCCACTGCCCTGCCTCCCACAGTCACCCACCCATGTGCCAAGACAGCACATGGGAGACGCGAGCACGTAATGGCACATGGAGCTGCCCGTCCTGGGGCCTCCTGACAGCTCCCAGCACGCAGATGGGGAGACGGGGGCTGCAAGGGCAAGAAGACCTGCCCAAGGTCACCCAGCAAGCCCAGGGGCCTGCACCCAGGCCCTCGGTGAACACAACCCCCAGGACAGCCTTGAGTTTTCTGTTTGTCGGCCTCCGGCATGTCACCATGGGAACCAGATGTGTGGGCCCCGAAAACTGTCTCAGGCAGATATAAATAAGCCCTTCGTTCTCCAAGTCAGACAGTAACAGCAGCCTATGGCTCACAGGCCAGAACAGCCAGAGGCAGGGCTGAGCATGGGGGCTGCCCGAGGCATGGGGGAGGGGAGGGAGCCCCGGGAATCTGGGTGTCGGGGGTGTCTGGGTGGCTTGGTCGTTAAGCGAGTGCCTTCGGCTCAGGTCATGACCCCAGGGCCCTGGGATCGAGTCCCCCATCGGGCTCCCTGCTCAGTGGGGAGTCTGCTTCTCTCCCTCCCCTCTGCTCAAGCTCTCTCTATGAATGTCTCTCTTTGAAATAAATAAATATAAAATCTTTTTTTTTTAAGATTTTATTTATTTATTTGACAGAGAGAGAGATCCCAAGTAGGCAGAGAGGCAGGCAGAGAGAGAGGAGGAAGCAGGTTCCCTGCTGAGCAGAGAGCCTGATGCGGGACTCGATCCCAGGACCCTGGGATCATGACCCGAGCTGAAGGCAGAGAACATTAACCCACTGAGCCACCCAGGCGCCCCAATAAATATAAAATCTTAAAAGAAAAAAAAAAGAAAAGAAATCTGGGTGTCAGCTAGGGGACAGGGAGAGGACCCTGGGCCAAGAGAAGCCCTGTCAGCTCTGTCCTGCTCTGACCCAGGACCAAGTCAGTCCAGAGGCCCCGCAGGGCGGGAACCACAGTCCCCACTGCCTGCTGGGGCAGGAGAGAAAGAACCAGCGCCCTCACCAGCAGACCGGTGGCCTCAGGCAAATCCCTGCCCGCTCTGAGCCTCCGTTTCCTCCTCTGTGACATGGGGGCGAGAGCCGCCTCCGGGACTCATGGTAACGCAGGGAGCCCTCAGCCCGGGCTGACACGGAGAAGCAGGGTGCTTCAAGGGGCCTCTTGGAGCTGCTTCTCTGAGCCTCGGGGACCTGACCCAGCCCAGCAGGGTGCTCTGCAGGTACAGCCGGCGTGGGGGGGCCTACCCACCCCGCGTGTTCCCCTCAGGATGTGCTGTCCCGGCCGGTAGGTCAGGTGCAGCGAAACCCTTGCCCTTCCGGTCAGGAAGGAGAGCAGCGGACGGATGTGGTGACCCCTCGAGCCTGCAGAGATGGGGACCATCACCCCACGTAGCGGACGAGTGGCTGGCCTGCAGAGCTCAGACACCCCCCAGCCCGGGGCAGGGGTGCCCCATACCTCCTCTCCTCCTCCAGCTGGTTGGACAGGTCCACCTTCTCCTTCCGCACGCTCTCCACTAGCAGCCGGGCCCGCTGCAGCTTCTCCTCTGTTTCTGTAACATACTGGGCCCCGAGCAAGGGCCAGCGCGGCGTCAGCCCCCTCCTGGGCCCGGGGTCCGGGTGGGGGCAGGGATGCGAGCGAGGACCCGGGCCTGCCACTCTGGCTGCCCCGCTGGAGGGGCACAGCCCATGGGCCTCGCTGTTTAGGGAGGACAGCCCAGCTAAGCGCCAGGAACAGCAGAGGCCAGACTCACCCGGTGGGAACCTCAGGTCCACCTGTCCCCAGTACCCGGCACTCCAGTGCCTGCCACGTTCCCTCAACCACTAAGGTCCTAAGATCCGCTGTGTTGGGAAGGCCTCTGTCCCAGCACACACGGAAGCCTGGCCTTCATCACCACATTTGAGGGCGGGCTGAGCCAGACTCCCAGTGGGGATGGGGACCCAGGAGGGATCTGTCACACAGGAGACAAACACCTCCATAAGGGAAAAGAAGGCAGGTGACAGCAGCAGACCCAAGTCGATGGGAGAGGACTCCCCGCCCTGAACCCAACACACAGATCTACCCGAAAGCATGATCTGGAACGTGGACAGGGGCAGACCAAAAAATGTGTACCTGAGTATATTTAGAAGACGTGAGTAATTGGAAATAACTTGAGCCACCACAGGGGACTGGCTGCGCGGGTAAGGACACAGCCCGCGATAGACGGCCACGCAGCCGCGAAAACAGGAAGAATTTTCCATGACCTAGAAAGTGCTCCCACTCTAGTTAAGTAGGAAAAAGCCCGCTAGAGCCAGGCTCCGGATCGTCAGGGGGGAGGAGGAGGGGTCTTAAGATTCTCTGTGTGAGGGTGCCCGCAAGGCTGACCTGGGGGTGCCCACCCCCCACGACCCCACCGGCCCAGCCACCTGTTCGTGCTGCGCCTTGAGCAGGGCGATCTCCTTCTCCACTTCGCAGATGTGGCTTGTGGCCTTGGCCACCTCGGCCCGCTCCAGGTCCCGCTCAGCCAGCAGCTGCTCGATGTGCTGCTGCTTCTCCTTTAATGCCTCTTGCAAGGCAGTGGTGCCCGATATCTTGCGGGCGTAGCGCGAGGAGGTCTCTGTGAGCTGCGGGAAGGCGCAAGTGCAGGTGGGATTCAGGGGTCTGGAGCACCGTCCGGACACCAGCTCGAGCGCCTCGCCTCCCGGGCGCCAGCTCCTCCGGCCAGTACCCTAGGCACTCTACGTAGGGGGAATCATGATGTTCGAGATGCTGGGAGCTCCCGGCTCTCGGCAGAGCCCGACTGACCCCTGACAGTCACAGCACCGGGGCTCTGCCTCACCTGGGCCACTTTCTCTGCACACATCCTAGACTCCCTGCCTAGATTCGGATTGCCCAGAAAGCTCTGTGCCCCCAGCAGGGCAGCATTGCCTTCTCCCCTCACCCAGGGTGCTTGTGGCAACCTGGAATTCCCTGCCCTCGACCTGCCCTCCATCCATACTACCTGTCCTGTATGTGTATGACCCTCCTTAACTCCCAGGAAAGGGGTAAGGCTGCTGACAAATCCGTAATGTAAAAATAACAATAAACATAAATGGATCAATCTTTCCTATTAAAAGACTTCAACTTTCATCTCTTTTTTTTTTCCTTTCTTAAGTAGGCTCTATGTCCAATGTGGGGATTGAGCTCACGACCCTGAGATCAAGAGTCACATACTCCACTGCCTGAGCCCGCTAGGGATCACTAAGCTTTCACCTTTGTTCCAAAACCCCACATTGGGATACGTGGAACACAGCAAGTCAGGGGAGAATGGGACACCCGGATCCTTCTGTCCCTACCCTCTCGCCCCCACACACACCAGGGTACCCCTTCCCCACTCCCCCCTCACCAGTCCGCTGCGGCTGGGCCGGCCCCCCACGGAGGAAGCCACGGAGCTGACAGAGCTGATGGAGGAACTGCTGGGGCTGTGGGTCAGCGCCGAGACGCCCATGGCCATGCGCTTGGTCTTCTTGGCCTTGGCCGGGCTGGTGGATGGGAAGCCGATGCGGATGACCTTGTGGATGGGTGCGAAGAGACCAAACTTGGGTGGGCACTGGAAGTACCTGGGGGAAGCAGGAGAGACTCACACTGCGGTCACGGCCCCACGGCCCAGAGCCTAGTGTCCCCCAGCAGAGACGCTTATCCTTCAGGGCCCAACACCCTCACCCCATGACCAATACAGGGGACTCCCAGAAAGGGAACAGAGGGGAATAGGGCTGGAGATTCTCTATAGCCATAAAGAGCCACTGGGCATATGTGGGAGGGGTCTGGGGGAATAACGATTATCCGAGTACCCACTCCATGCCCGTCCCAGGTGAGTGCCCATTCCTAACCCCCAACCACTCTACTCTCATCCATGTTTCACAGATGAGGAGATACAGGCTAAGAGAGGTTAAGGAACTTGCTTATGGTCACACAGCTGGTTAAATGGTAATGCCAGCATCGGACTCCCCAGTCTTCTGGGCTTGGCTCCCACACACCATTCAGAAGCCCTCTCCAGCCCTATCTGCAGCCCCCACTCTCATGACAGCCCCTGGGTCACCCCAGACCCAAGGAACCCCACTGACCCCTTGCTCGCGGAGCTCCCAGTGCACAGCAACCAAAACCTGAGGGGGACACCTTGGAGGTGGGGGGCTGCTGCCCCCCGGCCCCCGAATTCCGAAGGCAAGAGTGAGTTGAGAGAAACACCCAGCTTGCCAACAGGAAGGCACAGTGCTGTCAGGGGAACGCTGGCCTATCTTCTCTCAGAACCTCTCAGGGCGGGGATTCCACCAGGGGCCGGGGAGCCGGACCCGCCCAGTTCCTGCCTCACCTAGAAAGTGCCTCACCTAGAAAGTGCCTCCCCATCCCGCCTCTTCCTACAGGCGGGTCTTTACTAGGACCGCCCCCCGCCCCCCCGGACCCAGAAGACCTTCCTCAAAAAAAGCCTCCTTTCCTGCAAGAGCTGGGTGAAGGAGGGCTGCTCCCCCAGAGCTTGACCTGAACCCCAGTAACCGCTCCTTTTCAGAGTCGGCACAAGCCAGCCTCAGGACAGCCAAGGCACAGTGGGGCTGCTGGGCCTTAGCCCCATGCCCCTGCCAGTCTGCTCACCCAGAACCTCACACCCCCCGGCCCCAGCCTCTAGGCAGCCAGTTCCCTCTAATCAGAGAGGGTGTGCGACCTGGAGCGCAGCTATGACCCCACCTGGGGCTGTAGGCCTGGGACAGTGTCAGACTGTTTCCCTTGTCAGCACCCCCTCTTGCTTCCTCGGCTCTGGCCCCCCTAGCCACACGTGGCATGCAAGAGCGAACACAGAACCCACAACTCTCCCAGCACTTGTCCATGACTCTGTGTGACCTTGAGCAATGACCTCTCTGGCCTTTGTTTTCTCATCTGTAAAATGGGGATGCTATTCCTCAGCCAGAAGGAAGGTGGCAGCACCTCTCCCATGGTGCCTGGCTCAGCTACCGGGAGCCCCAATACCGGCTTCCTCAGATGCCCCAGCCCCCACTCCCATCCCAGGGAAAGAGGAGCCCCTCCCAGGCACCCCGGGGGAAGTCTACCATACCTGGTGCCCGCCACCGCCCCATCGTTCTTCCCAAGGGGCTCATCCAGCTCCACGCCACACCACTCGCCCTTGGCAAAGTCTGTCTCCCCCACGTACCGCACCACGCCAGTCTTCGTACCGCCAACCTGTTGGCATACAGACAGACTCCAGTCCGGAGGGTGCACTGAGCCCAAGCAGAGCCGGCGTGGGCACCCAGGTGCTCATCCCATCCTTCCCTTCCGGTGTGCAGGGGACAGGGAAGGTAGGGGTGAGAGGAGAAGAGGCCCAAGGGCAGCGGGGAGGGATCACAGCTATCACCGGGGCTTCCCGGGGCTGTCCCATGCAAGAACTTTGGAGACAGACAGACAGACCTGCACTGGAACTCTCTGCCGCGTACAAGCTGTGTGAGCCTGGGCAAGTTACCTGACCTCTCTGAGCTTCAGCATCGTCATCTGTAAAAAGCATTCATTTTATTTTTCTCCCCGAGGATGAAATACTTATGTCTGCCCCATACTAGAGTGTCAACAAACATTATCCTTAAACATTGTTCGATGGTGGTTGCCAGCGGGTGAGGAGACAGGGAAATCAGGAGCTGTTTCATGGGAACCGAGTTTGTTTTGCAAGAGGAAGAAAGCCTGTGGGTCGGGTGCACAGCGACGTGAATGCACTTAACACTACAGAACGGTACATTTAAGGGCGGTTAAGGTCGATGTGCGGGGCGCATGGGTGGCTCAGTGGGTCAAGCATCTGCCTTCGGCTCAGGTCATGATCCCGGGGTTCTGGGATCAAGCCCCGCGTCGGGCTCCCCGTTCAACAAGAAGTCTGCTTCTCCCTCTGCTCCTACCCCAGATTGTGTGCGAGCTCTCTCGCAAAAATAGATAAATCTTTAAAAAAAAAAAAAAAAAAAGGCCCTAGAAGTTTCTCAACCTCACTCCACAAGCAAACACGGCAACTCTCTAAGCTGAATATTTTGGCACTGACCTCCTTATTCCTAACACGTACAGCGCTATTTCTCGATTTCTCAATTTTGGTGACCCCCCACTTCGACTTCCCATCAAGGAGAGGCGTCAGCTCCCCGTCATCACTGCCTTGCACGCGTGTACACACACACGTCCCGGCTCTGTCCCCTCTCCCAGGCAGTGGTGTCTCAATTTTGGTCAAATTCTAGGTTTACAGTTCTAGAGGCTACGACTCGCTGCTCACGGAGAAGTACGGGAGGCTGCAGCGCTTTTCCCTTCTGGCACAAACTTTTCCCTCCAGGTAACAACTGTCCCTTACGATCATTCGTCCGCCTGGCCTTTACAGACAAGACTCATTCCACCCCAAAGTTTCTCAGTTAGGAAAGGCCTGGGGGATCCCATCCAGTTCCTTCTGAAGAAGACGTGACCTCAGCCACATGACCCACTGGGAGGCCACCAGCCTCGTGGCTACCGTCACCGTCACCCTGAGGAGTCCCTTTGCCTCTCTCCTGGGCTGGACCCCGTCTTGCCTGGATCCTAGGTCTTCCATTTTTCTTGGTTTACTTCCTTATTTTTTTTTGTTAAGATTTTATTTATTTATTTATTTACTCATTTATTTGACAGAGATCACAGGTAGGCAGAGAGGCAGGCAGAGAGAGAGGAAGGGAAGCAGGCTCCCTGCTGAGCAGAGAGCCAGATGCGGGACTCGATCCCAGGACCCTGAGATCATGACCTGAGGCTTTAACCCACTGAGCCACCCAGGCGCTCCAGTTTACTTCCTTATTTTTAAGAAAAGGTGCCCAAAGAAATAAACTCTTTGAGCCTCTGCAAATTTGGACATCATTTTTTACTCTAGCCTCCCTTTTGCTAATCGAGGTGAAAATGCCACGAACATCAAAATTCACCATTTTAACCTGTTTAAAGTGTCCAATTCCGTGGCTTTTCGTTTGCAACCATCACTGCTCTGGGATCCCAGGACAGTTTCATCCCTCCCAAAAGGAAACCCCACCCCCAGGATAGTTTCCTACCAATGGAATCACCAGTCGGTGACGCTTAGCGTCTAGTCTTTGTCCATCTGGCATAGCGTTTGCAAGGTTCCCCCATGTCTACCACCATCAGGATCACTCCTCAGCATCATTCCTACCTATGGCCAAATAAAACTGCAGCGTATGGATCACATCAGATTTTGTTTGCCCGTTCGCCCACTCTTGGACATTTGGGAAGTTCCCACTTTTTGGTTCGTGTGAACCACGTTGCTGGGAACATCCATGTGTAAGTCACTGCGTGAACACTCGCTTCCCTCACTCCGGAGTGAGGACGGCTGGGTCCCTTCCCTCGGGATTTGGAAGGCTCCCACCTCGCAGGACTGTTAAGACATTTCAAGTCCAACAGAGTCCCAGTCCTTCTGGTGAGCCCGTCTGCCCGCCCCAGAAACCCACAGGGCTTGCTCTCTGCACCCGGGGTTGCCCAGATACCCAGGGAGGTCCAGGGTGGGGGCCTCTAGCCCTGGGCTCCCCTGGGCCCTTCCGACCGAGAAATACTTGACTTCCATCCTCCTTTTCTTGTTTTCTCTCTCCAGAACCGCTGCGTTTAGATGTTGGAGGCGCTGGACGGGCTCTCTGGGAGTTTGGTTTCCATCTGTCTTTTCGTTCTACTTTCTGGGGGATTTCCTTAAATTCTTCTCAGACTTCGTGGTTTCTTAATGTGGGTCATCGGATTTTCTTCATTTCCCAGAGCTTTTTTGTGCCCCGAAGAGTCATGTTCATATATTCATGGGCATTTCCTTCAAATTTAATGTGTGACCTTCCCTAACTTCCCAGAGGACCAGCCACCGTCCCCCGCAAAGCCTCTTGTGTTCGCCACTGAGGAGGGCACGGGCTTGGCAGCCAGAGTTCTAGAAGCAGCCAGCCGGGAAGGGGGCTCAGCCTTCAGGATCCAAATGTTCCCTGAATCCTAATTTTTAAATCCAACCTGCCTGGGATTCCCCCACCCCTGTCCCCCTACCCCCAACCAAAGACTCTCCCCAGCCTGCTCAGGAGATGAAGAGAATTGGCTGAGCTCTCCTGAGAACTAAAGTCCGCAGTTGACATCAGGGTTCCCTCGTGGTGGTGGACGTTCTGGGGGTCTCGACAAACGTATAACGACCAGCACCGACCATCACAGCATAACAGAGTAGCTTCACTGCCCGGAACTCCTCCGGGCTGCCCCTGTTCACCCCGGCCGCCCCCCAACCCCAGCAACCACTGATCTTTCTACCGTCCCGTAAAGTGTGGCTTTTCCAGAATGTCAATAGTTAAAACCAAAGCCCCGTATGGAGCCTTTTCAGATGGGTTTCTGTCACCGAGCAATTTGCATTTAAGGTTCCCCTGTGTCTTTTCATGGCTTGATAGTTTTTTTTTTTCTTTTTTGAAGACTTTACTCATTCGAGAGAAAGAGAATGAGGAGGGGATGGGTACAGAGGGAGAGACAGAAAGAAGCCCTCCCCTTCTCCACCACCCGTGGGTTTTCGGGGCCCAGAGTCCCTGCCGGCCTAGGCCAAGCACCAGCTAGATCTGGGGTCCCTCGGAGCAATGGTGGGGGGCAGGCCGAGCTCCTCTGTTCCTAGGGGACTTTCCTCTGAGGAAGTCAGAACTGTGACTCACTTAAAACGTCTACGGCCGGTCATCTGTCCAGCTCCGCCGTCAGGAGGCGGGGGTGAGCCAGCCCCCCTCGCAGGGCTGCTGGGGGGACCATGAGGGGCTCATGTCCGCAGCTGGAGCGGCACCTGCTGGGGAGCCAGGGGGCGGGAGGGGAGCATGCGGAAGCAGGGGTGGGGCTGCTGGCAGGAGGAGGCTGGCTGGGGAGATGGGTCGCTCCCGGGGAGTGGAGGGGACAGAGGTGGGCGGCCCCTCGGTGGTCTTCTCTGCCAGTGAGGGGAGCCTGGGGTCCAACCAGCCTGTGGAGCCCCAACACGGTGCCTGTGGTGCCTCACTGGCTTGGGGCTACCCACAGGGCCCTGAGTCAGTCACCCAGCAGGTACGTTCGAGCACCCTCCTGGCCCCAGGGTCTGGTGTAGGCACTGGGGGCTCATCCATGGCAGGAAGCAGGCAGCGGGGGAGAAAGTAACTAATCCAGGTGACCGGCGGGGGCTCGCAGAGGGACACCAGAGTCCTCTATCCCAGAGAGCCCGAGGCGCACAGCCTAGCGGAAATGGGACAGCGAGCTGTGGGACGCCCCGGGGGACAGTGTCCCTGGCGCAGGAGCCGACCTGGGGCACGGGAGGGAAGGAGAGCCGGCAGGTGCAGCTGGGCCCAGCCAGGATGGAGGGAGGGAAGCCGCGTCACCTGACAGTGGGCAGGGGTCACAAGGGGCTTCGGGCCATGGGAAGGCAGGTGGATTTTAACCCAGGTGAGATGGGAGCCTCTGGGGTTCTGGGACCTGGGTGGGGGGTAGTGACAAGGAGACCAAGGAGGAGGGATCTCCACTGTCCAAGAGAGAACAGCTGCCCGGGGAGACGGTGGGATGGGGACAGATTTGGGGGTGTTTCGGAGATCAGCACAGAGACCTCCCGATGGGTCCCGTGGTCGGGGAGGAGACAAAACAGGGCCCAAGGCCGGGTCCCAAGTTCCTGGCCTGGTCAGCTAGAGATGCAGGTGCACGTTCCCAAGGATGGGCACGACAGAGAGGAACAGGTCAGGGACAGGGCACGGGAGATAAACAACTGAATTCTGTTTTGGTCACGTGTGACACGTTGTGTCCCCCCAAAAGACATGCTCAAGTCCTGACCCCCTAAGGTCCTGTAGATGGGATGCGGTGCAGAGGAGGCCATCAGGGTGGGCCCTAAGGGATGTGACTGATGTCCTTGTAATAAGACAGACGGAAGGAAGAGTGTGAAGGTGCCCGCGGACGCTGGTATGATGTGGCTGCTGGCCAGGGACGGCAGCGGCCTCCAGAACCGAAGGAAAAGCCACGGGGATGCTTGTCCCGATCCTTCAGAGAGCACATGGCCCTGGGGACGCCTCGGACCCCAGATTTCTAACCCCCAGAGCTGTGAGAGCAGGCACCTGTTTCCCTTAAGGACCTGGCTCGTGGTCCTCACTACAGCAGCCACAGGAAAATAATATATGCTCGGGGGAGGGATGTGACGTAAGAGCTGAGCCGATGCGGGAGATCCAGACCTGGGCGGCAGGACGCCCCCAAGTGCCTGGAATGTTCTAGGTCAGAGGCCCAGATGGTCCCATCAGGGAGAGAGCACAGGGGAGACAGGCCGAGGCCAGGGTTCTGACCTGACCTGAGAAGAGGAACAGCAGGGAGTGGGGGCCGGAGAGCTGGCAGCGGGCCGGGGAGCGTGTGGAATCAGAGAAGTGGTGGGAAGACAGTGCTTCTAGAAGGAGGCAGGGAGATGCACAGTGGCCAGTTCTGCCAGGCCGGGGCATGAAACAAAGGCAGGACGGAGAACTGGCTGTCGTGTTTGCGACATGAAGATCCCTGGCAGCCTTGGGCGGCAGTGGTCTCCCCAGAGCACAGGGTGCAGGAGAGTGGAGGGTACAGACCGTGTGCACAAATGGGCCTTTCGAGGGGGTTAGCCAGAGGGAAGACAGAGGTGGGCACGGCTGAAGGGATCAGGGGTCGTTTGGTTTTTACGGTGGGCGAAGGCGGGGGCAGAGAGCAGAGCCATGCAGGGAAAGGGGGACCATTAGGGGAAAAATGAGGTCCTGCACAGGGGTGGGGAGGATGGTGACTGGGGCCCCAGGCCGAGAGCCGAGGGCAGTGGGGAGTCTGGGGGGCGGGGGTCAGAAAAGCTCACTGCGGGAGGAATTCCAGGCAGCGGTCGGGAAGGCTTTCCGTGTGCGTGCCGGGGCAGCGGAGAGGTGGGAAAGGACAAGAGCAGGGCCACCGGTCACCGCAAAGTGGGCCCCAGCAAGGGCTTGACCAATGACAGCCAAGGACATCAGGTCATCACGAGCTGCTGTGTCACCTCGGGGAGGCTCTCTGAGCTCTGAGCCCCTCACTGCACCTGGGACCCCCTCCCCACCCGCCATGGCCAAGGAGAACTTCAATGCAGATGAGGAGACTTTAATGCGGGAAAAGAGCTAACGCTTCGGGGCGCTTACTCGGAGCCACACACCTTCTAAATACTGCGCACGTGGCCGCGAACTACTAGCCCATCTCACAAGCAGGGAAACTGAGGCACGGGGAGCCTACATAACCTGCCCACCAGTGTTCAGCTAGTATGTGGACCTTGGGGGGGTAGCCTGGAACGCCCCGTGAAACCAGGATCCATAGGTATCTCTGAAGAACAGCTCAACTTAATGAACGTGAACACGGCTCATGCCCCGTTCAGAAAGACCGGGGAAGCTAACAGCTTCCATGCCGGCCGCTTCCAAGTGCCTGGGAGGGGCCCAGCTAACGCACATACAAGATCACAGGATCTAGAAAATGTGCAAAGCAGTATTTTCCTGGGTACTGTTTTTCCTAGAGTCCCTGACCTCAAACAAGTTCCGGCCTCTACAGTCACCCACGTCCAGCATGTAATTTTTTCAAGGGCGCGGTCGGGGCAGGTGTTTACAGCAGGCACAGGGAAGCCACAGCAAGCCGGGGGGCCGGTCAGGCCAGCCGGATCCTGGCAGTGAGCAGCGGACCAGGCTACAGGACTAACCCTAGAGAAGCTGCGGACTAGGGTGGGATGGGGGGGCCCATGGGGCTCTATCCTCTCAGCAGAAAACAAACCCCAGGTTCGAGCTCTCCCCCACCCAGAATCCAAGGATATCCTGCTTCTAGGGCTGCCACGGTTGCTGAGTATAGAGGACTGAATGGTCTCTCGTCCCCCGGCTGCGTGACCCTGGGCTGAGCTCAGTTTTCTCCTCTGTAAAATGGGAGATAACTCCCACCTTCTAAGGCAGGACCCCAAAGACTAGGTACAGAACGTGCTGGGAAGGCAACAGGGCCTGTGTGCTCAGGCTGCTGCCAGCCCTGCCGATTGGGCTAGGGCCTGGTGGACGCTTCTGGAGTAATGCCCACATTGTGCAGGCTTGTCTGCCTCCTGTCCTGTCCTGCATGTCTACTTCCCACTCTCTGAAGGGGAAGCAGGTGCAAGGGGAAATTCCAGACAAGATCAAACTGGGGTTCGACCTCCCTGCTCCCCCAGCCTGGGGGCCAAGCAGAGCTGGCCGATAACCCCCCCCCACCGGAGCCTCCACGTCCTCCACCAAAGAGGTCGCAGACCACACCAGGGCAACTCACGTGACACTAACCAGACCCTGAGAGTCCGGCCTCCCTGTCCCACAGCAGCCCCCAGACTCTCCGCTCCCACGCCCTCCCATCCTGTCCCATCTTGTGCTTAAATCATGGATCCGCTTGTGCTGCTGCATAAATCCTTCCATGGCTCCCTCTGCGAACAGAGCAAACCCCCTCTACTCCAGCCCAGGCCCCAGCCCAGTAGGGTCAGCCCACACCAGCCTCATGGGCACTGTCCTGGCCCAGCTCCCTTGCTCTCGGCTCAGGCCCCCTACTCTTCTGCTTCTCTCTAGTCCATTCCCGGCATCTCAGTCCCAGCATTGGCCCCAGGGATGCGGACGACCAGGTCAAGCCTCCGCGATGGGCTCTCAAGGCACTGCATTTCTTCACGGCACTTATCCAGATCCACAAGGAGACCCTGATGTCTGCTATCACATGGATCACCATCTCTGTCCCCTGGTGGACTGTAAGCTGCTGGGGGGCAGGGACCAGGTCTGGCCACGCCCACCACCAGATCACCGCGGCGAGCAGTTCTGTCCACAGGGCAGTGGGCTGGCAAAGTGGCCCCAGGGAGGTGAGGGGCAGACCCCAGACAGATCAGCAGGGTAGACACAGTCCGGGAGCAGGTTTCAGGGGCTGGTTTGCATCTTGGCAAGTTACCACCAAGTTCTTAAACTTCTCTGAGCCTCAGCGTCTCTACCCGCTAAGTGGGGATAAAACTGTACCCAGTGTGGGCTTGAGGATCCAACAAGGTAATGGGGCACCTCTCGTGCCCCTGCCCCAGTGCAAATGCTCTTCCCATATGCCTCCAGGGGGAACCTTGGCCTTACGGCAGGTCCTCGGGGTAGGGAAGGAGAATCCTGGGCAGCAATACCCTCCTGCGGTCCCCACAACAGGACCCCGGAGCCCAGGAATCCCTTCTCCACTCAGCCTTGGTGCTCCAGACTTGTGGTCACCCCTGTCCCACGGGAAGATTCACTGACAAACACAGGGACCTCTCCCCCCAGCAGACCACGCCCCACTGGCTCCTCCCACCCAAGCCCAGCGACCCCCTTCTGAGACCGTCCCATGTGTTGTGCTCTCCTTCCCTACCCTGTGGTTCTGGGGACCACCCCAGCCCTGGGCTTGGTGTAGCGGGACAAGATCCTGTCCTGTCATCACCTTGCCACCCCCAGCCCAGGCCCGACCGCAGCAGGTGACAAGGGAAGCACTGCCTTGCTGCCTCATTCCGGACTTCTAAGGATCTGGGGGCCAACTGTCCCCCTTTCAACCTGGCCCCAGTCCCAGGGACTGCCACAGAAGAGGGGTCCCTGGCAGGAAGACTCGGCCGGCAGTCCCTCAGGCTCCCGTGACCCAGTTCTCTCCCCTACAGCAACAGTGGTCACGCGTCACAGTGGATTTGGTGTCTGAACCACCTGACCCCGGGCCGGAGATCCTGAGCACATCCGGTCTCAGACTTTTCCAGGACAGGCCTGGCATATCCACACTGGGGGACTGGATCAGGGGAGGGTACCAGCAAGAGCTACCACTCAAGGAGCACTCCCTAAGCGGCCAGCACCGTCCAGGGGCACCACACGTATTCAGGCATTTCAACCCGTTCTACACATGGGAAGACAGGGGCCCAGAGAGGTTAAGACACTTGCCCAGGGTCACACAGCGGCAATCTCCAGAGCTCACTTGAGTCCCCAATCACTCTGCGGTTCTGAGAAGGATGGGGAGCCCCAGCCTGGACCCCACCCCAGCCCCCCATGTCCCCTCCCCGCCCCCCCACCTCCGGGGGTTCAGCCGGCAGGGAAGGCGGGTGGCAGGGGAGGGGGGAAGGAACTCACCAGCACGCGGTCTCCCAGGCGCAGGTCCTTGTCGCCCCGCTTCACGGAGCCGCTGTCCGAGAGGTTGGAGCCCGATTCGTTGCCGGTCTTGACCGAGCTGTTGAGGACGCTCTCCCGCAGCGGGATGACCCGGCTGCTGAGGGGCGGCGTGGCCGTGCCCGAGTGCAGCGACAGGTTCTGGGCGGTGAGCGACTCCACCGAGTGCGCGTCGCTGCCCGAGCCCTCGGCCGCGGGCTGCCGGCTGAGCTTGGAGGGCCGCGTGAAGATGCCCTGCAGGGCCGGGCACTCGAAGTAGCGCACGCCGCCCACCGCGCCGTCGTTCTTGCCCACCGGCTCGTCCAGCACCACGCCGGCCCACTGGCCCGGCGCGAACTGCGTCTCGCCCAGGTACCGCACCACGCCTGGCTTCACGCCGTTCACCCACACCCGCTCGCCCACCGCGAAGTCCCCCAGGAAGTCGTCGCCCACCTCGGCCGCCTTGGGGCCCGGCTTCTCGGGCGCGGCGGCGGGGGCGGGGGCGGGGGCGGCGGCGGGGGCGACAGGGCCCGAGGCCTGCTTGTGCAGGGGGGAGCCTGCGGGCGGGAGAGAGGCTGTGGTCAGGACCCCGGGGGGGCGCGGAGTCCCGGCCGGGGGGTGCCCGCGCCAGCTCATGGGTGGAGAAACTGAGGCAGGCGTGGCCAGGCATGGGGCCTTGGGCAACCCGAGGTCTCTACGTCCCAACCCCGCCTGGCAGGTCAAGGATTCAGAAGCTCAGCAAAGGGTCTCCTTTCACTGCCCAGAGTCCCTCGAGATCGAGGGCCCTGAAGGAACCCTTTCTTGAAGGTTCCAAGCTGCTCCCTCCCCATCCCCCGGTGGGCTCCAGCCCCGGCTGTTAACCTGAGACCAGCCACGACCCTCGACCCTCAGCGGGACTCAGATCTTGTGAGTGATCCCTGTGTCCCCCACCTCCCGCCCCAGTCAGCTCAGGGCCCCACAAAAGGCTCTCAGACTGTTCCTGGACAGCTGGCGACAACCACAAATGCCTTGGGGAAAGGAAGGGGCCAGAAAACGTCTTGCTCCACTCCCAAGTCTCCCCTCCCTGAGCTGCAGCTGCACAGAGCAGGGAAAAATGGGGTAGAGGTATGTGGGAGGCAAGTCCTGCCCCGCGACATTCCTGGGGCTGAACTCCAGGCTCTCTGGGCTGCCAGGTGCACGCTGGCCCAGCCCCTCTTCAAAGGAAGCATGACCCTGAGGCTCAGAGAGGCAACAGCCTTGCTCAAGGCCACACAGCAGACTCGGGACTCAAACCCAGGGAAGGCACCTGCCGCCTAGGCCTGGGCTCTGATGGGCTACAGATGAGGAGGTGGGAGGGAAGGGAAGCTACTAGCTCGAGGTCACTCATGAGAGACAAAGCAGGGCTTGAACCCATGTGCCTTCTGTGTATCTGGCTCTTGGGCCCCACAGAGGGCCTCCCGCGCAATGGGGCTCAGGAAGCCCCGCCCATTCACCCCACGAGGTCTGGAGGCTGCCCCCCAACTTCCCGCCAGATGCAGCATCAGACAGAAAAGACCCCATCCTTCTCGACTCCAGAGCCTGAAGCGTGTGGGATACAGAGATGGGGGACAGGAGGCATGCAGATGCGGCCACACCCCAGCAGAGTTGCCTGTGTTTCAAGTCCTTCCCGGGGCAGCCAGTGGCGGGGCCACGGGGCAGCAGCTCCCCCCCGCATCTTCCTTCCAGCCAAGGCCAAGTAGCCCAGGCCTGGCAGGAGGCTGTATCGAGACTAGATGCCAGAACTTCTGGGGGCTGGAGAAGCCACACAGCCCCCAGGACAAGCCAGACCCACGAGACCAAGCACAGGGATTCTCTCTCTGGGACCCTGGGACCGCAGCAGAGGCATTGGGGAAGCACGTGGCACCAGGGCCTTGGCAGCCAGGATGGGGGTTCCTGACCTAGGGGCTCCCGGGAGGTCAGCAGCTTCGCTGCTGAACTTGACTGAATCCACAGTAACCACACCCATGCTGCTAAGAGACAGACACACAGGAGCTCATCGGACCCTCACGGTTAATCCCGTGAAATAATTTTATCTCTGATGGACAGAGGAAGAAACAGGCTTGGAGACATCGGGTGGTTCATCCAGGCCCCCAGGCAAGAGGCAGCAGAGCCCACCGGCCACAGGCCTCTGGCTCTTAGTGTCGGGCACATACATAAGTCAAACCAAACCACCGCGCTAAGCACTTGCCGTGCCAAAGCCTCAACCTAGAACCACCCCCAGTCCCTTGGGCTCCCCTGAATGGACCCGTTTTCCAGAATCTGGCCAAACCCTGCAGCTCCTTACAACCTCGCCTTTTACTCCAGCCTGTGTAGGGATGTCCCCTTCCACGTCCCATCTGGAGAAGACCCCTGGGGTGGGGGTGGGGGCGAGGCTCTGTGCCACCACCGAGATCCCACCAGGCAGAGGCCACTGTGGCTGAGGGAGCCAGCCCCGGAGCCCCAGAGGCCCGCAGCTCCTAGCCCCCCGCCCCTAGGACTGCTTCTCACCTGCACCCCGGTTCTGGGGCTGTTCTCCGTGCCCGGCCGGTACAGGCACACAGTGGGCACTGCCTGGTGTTATTCTGATGAGAATGATTTATACAAAGACTGAAGAATTAAAAAAAAAAATTAGGGGCGCCTGGGTGGCTCAGTGGGTTGAGCCTCTGCCTTTGGCTCAGGTCATGATCTCAGGGTCCTGGGATCGAGCCCCGCATCGGGCTCTCTGCTCAGCAGGGAGCCTGCTTCCCCCTCTCTCTCTGCCTGCCTCTCTGCCTACTTGTGATCTCTGTCTGTCAAATAAAATAAATAAATAAATCTTAAAAAAAAAAATTAAAAACCACAAAGGGGTCCCAGGAGGCCAAAGAAAGGCTTCCAGGCAGGTTCCAGTGACCCTGGGCAGGGGGCTCTACCCCTGAGTAAAGCGAGGCAGCCGGCGGGGCCTTCCACAGGTGGCACAGAACCCGGAAAAGTAATCGTCAGCTCACAGACCTTGTCCTCATGGTCCTAGTCATGCCCTAGGACAGCCCTGTACTATAAGGAGCCTCTGCAGGGCGCTGGGAACCCCATCCACCCCCCGCAGATGAGGCGGGCACCGTCCATAGGAAAAGCCACTCTGGAAAGCAGCCTTACATGGAGGAAGCCATGAATGAGAATATGGCCCAGCCCATGCCCGCCTCGTAATGCGGCCCAAGGAGCCGTGGGGCCCATCATCAGGGAGCCAGCGTGGCAGCGTGAAGACCTCAGCTAGGACTGGACGCTTTCTCTACGTTATATTCTTATCGTGCAGATCAGGAAGCAGAGGTCGTGACTCTTGTCCAAAGCTACCCCGGCAGGAGTCAGGCCCAGCCGGTCTAGCTCAGGGCCCTCCCCTTGCCAGCTCCCCCATATGCTCGAGTGCGCGGTACGTGCCCTTCCCATATCTGTTTCTAGAAGCTTCCGTGCGCCCTGGGTCTCCGTGATGCCCGCAAACTGACCTGGGTAGCTGGGAGGTAGGTAAGCACCTGGGTCTACCTGGTCTCTTTGGCTGGAGCGCAGAAGAGGGTCCCAGGTCGAGGGGCACCCAGCGTGGCTATTCCTGGAGAGAAGCTGCCTGCCCAGCTGTCCTCCTCCCCAGCTGTCCCGGGCCGGGCAGCCCCTCAGGTAATCTTTCTGCCCTGTCCCGTCCTGCCCCTTCCAGGGTCACAGGCCCAGAGACCAGCTGTTCCAACAGCTGCTCAAATCCAGGTCCCAAGCCTGCGGTGACGGCGCTCGGGGCGGGGGGGGAAGGGGGGGTACGCGGTTCGCCTCATTTTTCCTCTTCGGTGCCCTCAGCTGCCCCAGCCTCCCGGAGACAGACCCTCGTCAAATCCCCGACGCCAGCAGGGAAGCCTCCAGAGGCCTGGGCTCGGGAAGGCAAGGAAAACTGGGACAGAGCCCCCTTCCCTCCAGGGAGCCCTCAGTAACACCCAGGCCGGGCCGGGCCGGGCTCCTTCCCCTGTCTGGGCCTGTCTCCCTGCAGGACGAAAAGGGCTAAGCCAGGAACAGCCAGGACCTCATGGTCTCCCGCCCCACCCGTTCTCCCAGAGCTGTGGGACCTGGCTGGCTCCCCCCAACCCCACCGTCACACCCCCCCAGGGCTCCAAGGCAGGTTCCCAAAGCGCCCTGAGGGCAGGGACTGGGCCCCCCTCCCTCGAAAGCCCCCCAGTGGAGCAGCCGGGCCCAGCGAGCCCCCAAGAAAGCAGAGGGCAACATTTAACCCTCTCTTGAGCACTTGGTCCTTTCCCCAGACGCCAGGCACGAGGGAATTTCCTGCTGGTTTCAAGTTCAAAGCAGGACTTTGAAGAAAAAGGCTGAGGGGCCTGGTGTGGGGTGGTGGCAGCTGGCGGCCTGCTGCCGTGGAGGTGGGGGCCAGCGGGGGTGCCCGGGGTGGGGGGGAGAACGCACCCGCCCCCCTCCTCCTGAGGGGGCCTGGACCCCACCCTGCCCGGGGAACCGTGGACAGGCCTTGCCCATGCCTGCCGGATCTCAGCTGCCAGGGACCCCGTTCTCCGAGCCCCCAGGGTCAGACACTGGGGACCACAGGCACAGCCAAATGGGGACCCGGCAAGGTGACTCAGCTGGTCACTTCCCTGACAGGGAGGAACCTGGATCCATGGGGGCCTGGGGCTGCGGAGAGAAGGATCCCTGGGAACAGAGATCGAATGCCTTCCAAAACCTCTGCCCGACAGTCACACAGCTCACTCCTCACCTCCTCAGAGACGTCTTCCCTGAGTGCTTCTCCTAAAAGCCAGTCCCCCTGCATCACCCAGCACCCCCATCCTTCCAGAGATTTATCCCATATTTCACCGTGTATGTGTGCCCCCCATCCTTGAACAGACGCTCAGGAGGGCCCTGTTTCCACTCTAGCACCAGGCTTGCAGGCCCTCAGCGCGAGCTGCCTGCACAAAGCTGGTCCCACTCCCAGGACGGGCCGCCGCGGCTCTGCGCTGGTGCACGGACTCTTCACATCCCCGAGCAGCGGAGAACCATTCCCATTCCTCCCGTCAAGGACAGAGGCTCACTGCAGGCCAGCCTCTGGCTCACCTCGTCTCCCCCCACCCCCAACCTCCGATCCCGCCCCACCTGTTCCCCCCCGGATCCCCCCCGGAGCCCACTGTTAGCCCCGTGTTTCTACAGGAAAGCCACGAACATTCTTCTCCTTTTAGGAGCAAACCTCTATCCCCTTTTGGTCTCCCCAGGGACCTGCCTCCCCACTATCTCTTGCCTCTGTCCCCTCACTGGCTCTCCATGTGTGCCACCAATGCCCCCCAGCCCATAAAATCACAGCTTCCCCCACGGACCCCCCTCCTGCGGTCACCCGCGGTCCTTCTCCACCAACTAACTTTTCCTCATTCTATGGACGTCCACTGCCGAAAAATCAGAAGGCAGAGTTACTGATTTTTCTTTTTTAAATGAAACCACCTCGAGTTCCATCATACAAACACGATTACATTTACTGTCCTGGAGTAGGTTTCTCCAGACTTTATCCGTGCGGGGATGTTGTGTACACAGACTTCATACTTGCCTCCTCCGCCCTCCGCCC